ACCCTGAGCCCGACCAAGAACCTACCCCGAGCCCTACAGAGGTTCCCCAAGCCCGAGAGCCTATCCCGATCCCGAAAGAACCCACCCCGAGCCCTACCGAGAACCCACCCCCCAAGCCCTCCCAAGAACCCACCCCCAAGCCCTACCGAGAACCCACCCCCCAAGCCCTACCGAGAACCCACCCCCCAAGCCCTACCGAGAACCCAGCCAGCCCTACCGAGAACCCAGCCCCAAGCCCTACTGAGAACTCAGCCCCAAGCCCTACCGAGAACTCAGCCCCAAGCCCTACCGAGAACTCAGCCCCAAGCCCTACCGAGAACCCACCCCCAAGCCCTACCGAGAACCCACCCCAAGCCCTACCGAGAACCCACCCCCAAGCCCTACCGAGAACCCACCCCCAAGCCCTACCGAGAACCCACCCGAAGCCGGACAGACACCCACCTGGAGCCCAAACAGTCACCCACCCGGAGCCCGACCAGTCAAACACCCGGAGCCCGCCAGTTTAGTAAACCGGAGCCCGCCAGTTGAGTGAACCGGAGCCCGCCAGTTGTGTGAACTGGAACCCGTCAGTTGAGTACCTGGAGCCCGCCCCGAGCCCGACCGAGAACCCACCCAGAGCCCTACCGAGAACCCACCCTGATCCCTACTGAGAACCCACCCCTAGTCCTACCATGAAAACACCCTGAGCCCTACAGAGAACCCACCCTGGGCCCGACCAAGAACCTACCCCGAGCCCTACAGAGGTACCCCAAGCCCGAGAGCCCATCCCGAACCCGAAAGAGCCCACCCTGAGCCTGACCGGGAGCCAACCCTAAGTCCTACCAAGAACCCAACCCGAAGCCCTACCAAGAACATACCCGAAGCCGGACAGACACCCACCTGGAGCCCGAACAGTCACCCACCCGGAGCCCGACCAGTCAAACACCCGGAGCCCGCCAGTTTAATAAACCGGAGCCCGCCAGTTGAGTGAACCGGAGCCCGCCAGTTGAGTGAACTGGAACCCGTCAGTTGAGTACCTGGAGCCCGCCCCGAGCCCTACCGAGAACCCACCCCGAGCCCTACAGAGAACCCAACCCCCCCGAGCCCTACCAAGAACCCACACCCCCCCGAGCCCTACCAAGAACCCACACCCCCCCGAGCCCTACCAAGAACCCACACCCCCCCGAGCCCTACCAAGAACCCACACCCCCCCGAGCCCTACCAAGAGCCCACACCCCCCCCCAAGCCCTACCAAGTACCCACACCCCCCCAAGCCCTACCAAGTACCCACACCCCCCGAAGCCCTACCAAATACCCACACCCCCCCAAGCCCTACCAAGAACCCACACCCCCCCAAGCCCTACCAAGAACCCACACCCCCCCAAGCCCTACCAAGAACCCACACCCCCCCCCCCAAGCCCTACCAAGAACCCACACCCCCCAAGCCCTACCAAGAACCCACACCCCCCAAGCCCTACCAAGAACCCACACCCCCCCCCCAAGCCCTACCAAGAACCCACACCCCCCCAAGTCCTACCAAGAACCCACACCCCCCCCCAAGTCCTACCAAGAACCCACACCCCCCCAAGCCCTACCAAGAACCCACACCCCCCCAAGCCCTACCAAGTACCCACACCCCCCCAAGCCCTACCAAGTACCCACACCCCCCCCCAAGCCCTACCAAGAACCCACCTGAAGCCGGACAGACACCCACCTGGAGCCCGAACAGTCACCCACCCAGAGCCCGCCAGTTGAGTACCTAAAGCCTGCCCGGAGCCCCGACCGACAACCCACCCCGGAGCCCCGACCGACAACCCACCCCGGAGCCCCGACCGACAACCCACCCCGGAGCCCCGACCGACAACCCACCCCGGAGCCCCGACCGACAACCCACCCCGGAGCCCCGACCGACAACCCACCCCGGAGCCCCGACCGACAACCCACCCCGGAGCCCCGACCGACAACCCACCCCGGAGCCCCGACCGACAACCCACCCCGGAGCCCCGACCGACAACCCACCCCGGAGCCCCGACCGACAACCCACCCCGGAGCCCCGACCGACAACCCACCCCGGAGCCCCGACAGAGAACCCACCCCGGAGCCCCGACAGAGAACCCACTTGGGGCCCGACAGAGAACCCACTTGGGGCCCGACAGAGAACCCACTTGGGGCCCGACAGAGAACCCACTTGGGGCCCGACAGAGAACCCACTTGGGGCCCGACAGAGAACCCACTTGGGGCCCGACAGAGAACCCACTTGGAGCCCGACAGAGAACCCACTTGGAGCCCGACAGAGAACCCACTTGGAGCCCGACAGAGAACCCACTTGGAGCCCGACAGAGAACCCACTTGGAGGCCGACAGAGAACCCACCCCGCGCCCAACCTTTCATGGAGAAAATTGAACACCAGGCGACAAAAATAATTGCAGAATGAGGTCTAGTTTCATACCATGAACGGTTGAGGGTCACAGGGCTAACAACACTGCAAACTAGGCATGCCAGGATGGATCTCACCGAAACTATTAAAATATCGACTTGAATCGACTTGAGAATGGTCCAGAACGGACCGAAACTCGTCGTCCCTTCAACTTCTAGTGTGTGGTCTGGTCAACATACTTCAGCCACGTTATTGTGACTCATCGCCTGCCTATTAAAATATTGAACAGTTTCGAAGATATGGATCCAGAGAACAACTTCAAAAGGTCAGATGGAACACAAACAAGGAACAACGGTTTCAAGTCCAACAAGCCACAGTGTAGGACTGAAAACATAAGCTATATTTTCACCCACAGGGTTATAAACCCATGGAACCGCCTATCTGCTAAAGCAGTAAATAACATAACACTTGAATTGTAAAATCCAATTTGAAAAAAAATCGGAACAAATGGGGGACCTGATCTGTTACCAGAAATTTTAGCCAAATATCCCCAGTCTGCTAACTGTAGGTAGTAACCGAGTGATTGTAACCTATCCACCGCTGCCCACTGGATGGGGGGCGGTGTGCAGGACAAACATAAATTGTGACACTAGCTCTCCACATATGTCAGGTGCTTAATTTAGAACCTGTATTTAAGGTCGATCTCGAACCCATTGTTGATGTGACGACTTATACTGAATTTTGTAACCTAGCTCATCAAGATTGTAACTTGCTTAGCTAAATGAATTGTGGGGTTCAATCCCTGAGCCCATTATGTGCCTCTGTAACCCTTTCCACTACCGCCCAGCAGAGGTACAACAGGTACTCAGAGAGAACTATCAACATCAGAGGCCCGAGACTGTTCAACACGCTTCCACTACACATAAGGGGCATAACTGGCCGACCCCTCACAATGTTCAAGAGAGAACTGGATAAGCACCTCCAAAGGATACCTGATCAACCAGGCTGTGACGCATACGTCAGGCTGCGAGCAGCCGCGTCCAACAGCCTGGTTGATCAGTCCAGCAACCCACAAGATGGGTATGGGTGCATAATAAACGAACTAAACTAACATTGATAGGCATTGTTCGAAGCAAACTCCATTATATTATATAATTCTATATACTGTGTATATATAAGATATAAATATGTCAAAAAGAATTATCACTCTTACCTGGAGCAATGTTGCTGATGTCGGAAATCAGCGATACATGTTGTCGCGTTGGCGTCAGTGAGGATACTGAGCAGCTGAGCCTTGCAACGACCAACCGCCGTTTGAACGCCATTTTGAAATTCCAGGCGTACTACCCGAAAAGTGCGTAAACTAGTATTTGCGTGCATTATAGGCCATTCCAAGAAACCTTATTGCTATGAATATCTTGTTATCTAACAAACGAATTATTTATGTTAATATTTTTAGCACATATGTTAAATTAGACCATTTTTCATTTAGAGGGGGTATATATATATATATAGCTATTTACATTTTAAGTTTGAAAAATTACCGTACAAAATTGAATGCAAAGATAAGATAAGATTTATTTATACAACCCTGTTTGGAAATTAACTCCTTTTACAATGAAATAAGACGCAAATAAGAACCTCAATTGTGTAGTGAATTTATGCATTTTGTTTTGATTAAAAGCTTAGGTAGTACAATGTACTACTTCTACTACTAATACCATATTATATATGAGGGGCTACTAAATAAAATTAAAGCACAAGCATGTTCACCTAATATCATTAGCTGACAGGTGAAATAATATGAAAGTCGGAAACTATTTGATTCTCTCTTAGAATTTCTACTAATCCTTTCTTTCGTCGAGACCAATATATGTCAGTGACCCCACAGATAAATTTCATTTGCAGAAATCAAATTATTCAGACCGTTTCAAAGAAAACGAGTTAGATATACTTTTATATTTTACCTGAATTTACCCGAGTCTGCAGTTTAATGCTGATAAATGTAAAGTTCTGAGGCTAGGTAATGATGATAGAGTTACAAGATACGAGCTTGAACGCACTTCTCAGCCTACTATGCAAGGCCCGATTTGACTAATAAGCCAAGTTTTCCTGAATTAATGGTTTTTCGACTACCTAACCTACCTAACCTAACCTAACCTAACATTTTCGGCTACCTAACCTATAAAGATAGGTTAGGTTAGGTTAGGTAGGGTTGGTTAGGTTCGGTCATATATCTACGTTAATTTTAACTCCAATAAAAAAAATTGACCTCATACATAATGAAATGAGTAGCTTTATCATTTCATAATAATAAAAATTAGAGAAAATATATTAATTCAGAAAAACTTGGCTTATTAGGCAAATCGGACCTTGCATAGTAGGCCGAGAAGTGTGTTCTGGCTACTAGGTACGATATATATATATATATATATATATATATATATATATATATATATATATATATATATATATATATATATATAATATGTGTGTGTGTCCAGAAATAATATTAATAAAACAATTAACATCGTGTAGTGTACTCTATATATCTAAATATATTACTTTGAAACCCATAATATTCACTAAAAAAAATTGGGTTACTCTTATTACAAATTCGCTACTTTTAGGCCGTCAGCTCGCTACTTTCCGCAATTTGGATCTGGCCACCCTGCAGCCCCCAGTATGTGAGGGGGGCGTCTGGTAGACTGGTCGACCTTGCCCAGTACTCCACACAACATTGCTAACACTTCAGTCAGCCAATATATAAGTCCTTGGTGTTAACATGGATGGAAGGGAGGTTTGGTAAGTTAGCATTTTGAATGTTGACTTTAAATGGGTTGTTCACGACCGTCAATTGCAAGCTTGGTTTGTGTGAGGTCAACCTGTTAAGCGTATATGACATTACCTGTTGCATAAAAGAAAGTGCTTTTTTGGTAATTACTTGGGAAAGGAAGTATATATTGCATAACCGTCCCCGCACGTCAGTTAGAATGAATGTGTCTGTTGTACAAAGCCGTTAGATTTGGTGCCTGGTTAATCCTCCCTGGTCAGGACTCGAACCTTGATCAGATTATTTGCAAAGTGTGGGGCTAGTGTAGTACCATTCCACCATTAAGGACTATCTTAGAGTTTATTGACCAGTGGATTCCACACGTCTCGATGACATTTTCATTCCTTACTCTATGTATTTTCCAGCATCACACATGCTTCTTGGATTATCTATATCTACTTCTCATAACTTAGAATTTCATGTTCATATCACACTGTCACTCAGTTGATTTACTGTGCACCCCGTACTCACCCTGTGAAGATAGCAGAAAAAGTTACATGCACAAGATTCAGTACCACTACTACTAGCATTCCCTGTGGTGCAGTGGTAACACACACTCCCTGTGCTTCGTGAGCGATTTGGCTTGGGGTTCATATCCTGGCTGGGGAGGATTGACTAGGCTGGATTGACTACTTAACTGAATAACTCTGTTCACCCAGCAGTGAATGGATATCTGGGTGTTAAACAATTTGGCAGTTTGTATACTGTATAGGGAAAATTATGATTAACGACCTGCCCGAAATGCTATGAATGTTAGTGGCTTTACAAGAATGTAAGAACTCTTGTTCATTATATAATACAGGGTATATATAAAAAAAACATGCAAACTACTTGCTACATTCATTCCAATCCTCCCCCTCACCCCTGTTAGTTTATCCGAGAGCCACTATCACAAGTGGCCTTGACAAGGACAGGAAGCCGGAGGCTTGTCAAAGGTCCTTTCTATTTGCCTTGATGATCCTGGGTAATGATGATGATGTTAGGTAAGGGATAGAGGCTAATTGTACCACATAATTATGTAAAATGCTGTGAGATTGTTAAATTATACTCGTTTCAATGTTAATACTTTTTAAGATTTTTTTTTACTATAAGTTAGCTATCACTAACAATCTACCAACTATATCGCTATCACTAACTAGAACCAACGGTAGATGTCGCAGTCCCCATGGCGAAGTGTTAACACACTCGCCTGGCATTTTGCTTTGGCCTGGGTTCGTATCCTGGCCGGGAAGGATTTACTTGGTACCATTCCTTAACTGTAGCCTCTGTTCACTTAGCAGTCAATGGGTACCTGGTTGTTAAACAATATGACGGGTCGTATTCCGGGGAAAATTTGGATTAAGGACCTGCCCGAAACGCTATGCGTGCTAGTGGCTTTACAAGAATGTAAGAACTCTTGTATATAAAAATAAAAAATTAAAAGAATAAAAAGCTAACCTTATTTTTGTAATGTTTTCCCAGTGCTACAGTACATCGCCTGCACTATCATACCGCTCCTCTTAAAATTGTACGAGCACAGAAGCAGTATATGACTGACAACGTGGGAGTTCAGTATTTGGACTGTGTCTCAAATATTGCACATGGTAAGTTTTAATATGTTAAACAACTAATTTTACAGATTGTATTAGTGAAGTATAATGAATGATAATAGACAAAGTAATGTAAGTAGACGAGTTAATAATGGTTTGCAAAATTTTATACAGTATATATATATATTTTATACAAATTATTATAATGCAGTAATCTGCTAACAAGATTAGTCTTTTTTCTGAGTTTAGACATCTCAGGCTAGTTTTGTGTTCAGTCCTTGACACACAACTGTCAGCCATTAATGTACTATAATTTGCTATTTTCAGTGGGACATTGCCATCCACAAGTTGTAGCTGCTGGAAAAAATCAGATGGGACTATTGGGTTCTGCACAGGGCTTTGTTAATGACATCCTTAACAAGTATGTTAAGCAGCTCCTCAGTAAGTTGCCAGATATACTGAGTGTCTGCTACCTTGTTAACTCTGGGTAAGTAGTAATATGTCTAGGGAAACACAATGAGAGCAAATGCTAATAACGTTAAGGTTCACATTAACCAGATGAGACTTCTTCAGTATGGTGCAGTCCGTCCTCACTCGACACATTAGATGCATTTCAGGGAAATCCTTTGATACAGTGAAAGCCTGCTTGAACGTAACCCCCCCACGTTCAGAAATTTGGATACAACTGAATCAAGGATTTTGGTTGCTTGAATTAATCTCTACTGGTAAAAATTAAATGAATTCTTGGAGCAGAACTTGACATACCAGTATACAAAATATACTGTAACTAAATACAGTACACAATTTTTTTTTTTTTGTACCAAGTATTCCTAGGATAAAGCCGAAAGAGTAGACTTTGTAGGTGCAATACCTACAGAGATATTAACTAAAATATGTTGTAGCCTAAATTGTGTCGCACGGCAGACATTCAGCCTGATGCTTATATCTGGCAAAGTAGTTATCATTAATTTTTAAAGGAGATTCACCATTACAGTAGAAACAGGAGTATGTTAATATAATAAATATTATGAGCACTGAAATGAATTTATCAAACAATCATTAATCTTATTGCAATATTCATGTACTGTACATTATAATCCAGTCTCGGATAACATTACTTGAAATACAGGCTGTCTCCTGTAGTTGATATCAAATGTTTTGAAAGAAACACTATAGTAATGAACAAGAAATTTGATTTTTAGTTTTTATTACAGGGTCACTGAGATCTTGGGGGGGGGGGTAATGGTTCTGCACATGCAGTCACAGACTGCATGTGTTCTGGTGTTTAGAACAGAGGAGTAACAAGGATTACTGTGGATGACAAATTTTCTAGCAGAATGATGAGAAAAGTGATGGAGTTGATGAATTTGCACTATTGGAACATATTTGCAGATTAGTTAGTTTAGTTCATTTATTATGCACCCCATATGTTTATGAATAGTTGCCATGCTCTTTGAGTGATCTAGAGAAAATAAAGTATGGAGCAGTATATATGATGATTTTGTTGTGCTTTACTTTGTATTTTTATGTATTTTTTTAGTTTTGGGTAGATATCCAATTCCTGGGTGTCCCTTGTCTCGTGCATAGCTAAAATCTACTCCTAGCTCCTGGTAGGTCAGGGTGGGTTTCGGAGGCCTGGCCCAATTTCTGAAGGTTTGGGGCTATACAGTACCAGTACTTAAGTTATTGAGGCTACAGAGGGCCACACAAGGAATGGTCAGTTTACTACATTCAGCACTTGATTTTTCTTAGAAAGGATGGCTGTAAAAATTAATATACTCTGGAGGGTTCAAAACAAAACAAAAATATACTGTATATACATCACAAAATAGAGAATCATCTTGCCTGGATGAACATTTACTGTTGACTGTTTTGTTCATGACAGGCTTACCTCAAGTGAAATGTGTTTAGCTTGCCTTTGTATGATGATTCCCTACACATCTTTGTTGGGAGCCCTTGCTGTATGTACTTACTAACACTAAACCTTTCTTTTTCAGATCTGAAGCTAATGACCTGGCTTTAAGGCTAGCAAAATCCTATACAAACAAAATGGATATTGTGGTCTTTGATGAGTAAGTTTTGTGTGTTAACATGTATATCGTAATCTAACAGTGTAGGATAGAAGATTGAACAAAAGTTGGACTCTAGTTCAGTATTGGGCTGAGACTGTAATATTTAGGAGGATGTTAAAAATGTTCTACCAGAGGACTAACAGAAGACCAAGTAATATGATAGAATGAGAAATAAAATGCATGTCTCGTTGATGAACCATCTTTGAAGTATAATTTTATTACTAAATAAAATTGTCGGCTTGTTACCCTTTGCCTCTCCAGAGATACCTGGTCTGAGGGGAGCAAAAGAGGACTAGGGACAATGAATGAAAAGACTGGAAACCATGGCTGAACTGGCCCCATGAAGTTAACAGAATCATGCAGCCCACAAAAATTCTCGTTCCAGTCTGATGAACACCCGGAGGAGGATCTGGACTAGTAGAAAGAGGTAAAGAAGTCTCCCCAATTCAAGTACAAATGAAAAGCATTCATTTCTAGCGCTGCTGGTAAGAAAAAGTGACTTGTAGGCAACTGGAGATTCCATTCAAAGGCAAAGAAATTCACCTGAGGACACTCAAACATCTTGCAAATCCAAAGGAAAAAGGTGTCCACCTCCTATTCCATCATAATCAGATGGAAATGGGAAAGGCATTCTGTGAGAATTTTGGTCACAGTCTGAACAACATTGAAGACTAAACCCCGAGAATCCAGAAACATGACACTGGAGAGTCCACCTCTACATGACAATGACCCAATGAATGAACTGCATTCTAGGTGAACCCAAATTGCCATGCCCCCACTGAAAAGAGATGCATCATCTAAACCACCATAAATTTCCTCACTGTGATATGGACCAGCCGTAGGTGAGGAGACCATAATCCATGGTCTGTGTGGTGACAGCTGGAGACTAACAACTATAACGAGGGTAAGGGAGGACACCACAGAACTAAATCCAGAAGAATTTGAAAAGGAAATTCATTAACCCTTGCACTGCTCACCTATTTTCGGCAAAAACGTCTTGGTGCCATTGTCAAGGACATATTTTTGTTATTTTTACAAATGTTCAGGTAAATTTAATGTCAAAATGTTTCCAAAGTCAACTATTTCCATTTCAAATCACAAATAGTAATGAAAACATTAAAAAACATTAAAATATAGCCAAATTAAAAAACAAAAAGCACAACTATCCGAGCGCCTAAAGGCGCTTTGCGCAGTGCAGTGGTTAATCTAAATCCTTCATAAGGCCTGAGACGTCTGCAACACACAGGACTGTTGGTTGACCAGTACAGAAGAGGAAGATTGAACTAGTAGGTGAGCTCGTGCAGGAGTCAACAGTGCACCAGAACCTATACCTTGACCAGGACCCCAAGAAAAATGCTGCAGAGAACGAAAGAGAGCAGCCAAAATACTAGTAAGAGAGGCTAGTGCTACATTCACCATCCCTGAAGAAAACAATAGTGTGATAAAACAGGGATGTAAAGAGTAAAGAGATTGACCAGGTGAACTCCTAGAGATGAAACCAGTTTGATGTGCAGCATAGAAACCTGTCCCAGCTTCACAGTTGAACAGAACAAGACATTTTTTAAGCATTGAAAGAGTTATTGTGGTTTGTTTTACTCGGTTTTGAGGTTGATCTCCGATTCACATGCACTCCTTGCCCCTTTTAGCACCCCAGATTCCATTTTCAATGCTTAGGCTGGTTCAAGCCCTGGAGCCTAATTAACTTTGTGGATGTCTATGGCACTAGATAATGCATCAAGGAGCTGCTGAGGGTCAGCCAAGAAAAGTTGATTTGAATAGATTTGGTGCAGCACCCAAATATTGTTTTATCCATATTCGGTAAACAAAAATATTCTTCAAAGCTGGATTTATTTCAAGTTATGTCATTGATTTATAGTTTGACAAATCTTGTAGATAAGTGGAGAGGTAAAAATGCACATTATTAATATTTTAACTAATTTATTTTTTGTTCATATAGGGCTTATCATGGAAACTTGGGAAACTTGATTGATATCAGCCCAAAGATGTTCAAACGAATGACTCAAGGAAAGAAAGAATTTGTACACATCATTCCCTACCCAGACACTTACAGTGGGGCCTATCGAGAGAATGATTCCCAAGCAGGTAAGAGCATCTGCAGGTCACTAGCATGCATATTAGCTTAGAAGATGTAATACTGTAGTAAAATTTGCAATTTTTCCCATGGCCAAAACTCAAGTGGGGTAGTCAGGTGTTTTCATACTTGAGTGGCTCAGTCTGTGAGTTGGATAATGTCTACTTATGTCTCTTCCTCATTAATGTTCTTTAATGTGGTAGAACCTAATGCAGTAGCCTCCCATTCAGCCTTGAGAATATATCTACCAAATAATGAGAAGCAGTGTGTGTGTGTGTGTGTGTATAGGATACCACATGTATTTAATATACTGTTTTGTATATATGATATATAGAGATGATATTCAAGGCCTAAATTTAGTTTCATGGTCTAGCCAATAAAAATTTGAAGTCAGTGCAGTGAATTTGTTCAGAGTAGCTGGCTCATAGCCTCGGTGACCTATGACAGCAGAGGACACAACTTGACCAGGAGCAAATGTAAACAATAAGAGAAATACCCATATGTTCACAGATATAGTGTTTTAAATATCATGTGATATTCCCCATGTATCAAACATTAAAAAGTTATCATTAAGTTAATTTCAACATTAATTGAGTTTGCTTTTTGTTGCAAAACAATTTGTTAAATTAAAGTTTCTGTAGTAAAGTCCTATGGAAAAGAAGTAATATTTTCTGTGGCATTAAATTTGAATAAAACCATACAAAATTATGAACTTTGTTCATCTTCCGTCAATTTTTGATGGTATCCTACACATTGACGAGAGGGTCCACTGCTTCTTGAAACAGACTTAGCTGGCCATGTGACTATTGGGAACTATTTGTATATACAGTACTGTATAGCGGTTCCAGTTGTTAACTGTACACACATGATCATACCTTGACTGTGCCATTTAAATTAGATATGGTGAAAACAAATGCAACCATCAGTGTGTTGTGTGTTTATCAAATTTACAACTAAAGATAATTTTCTGTTGAGGCTGTGAAGACAACCTGGAATTTCTGAGAATTAATATATTTTATAACATGTATTATTGTTACTTTTCATATAATTACTGATTATTTTTACTTTATTACATTCCAGCTGACAAATATGTGAAAGAAGCTGAGCGCATCATCACTCAGGCTACAGATAATGGTAGAAAAATCGGCTGTTTTATCTCTGAATGCATAATAGTAAATTGTGGTATAATTTTCCCCCCAAGAAACTACTTTAAGGATCTTTACAAGTAAGTTAAAACAAAAATTATAAACTTGCTCATTCTCCTGCTCCCTAACATTTAATTTGTCATGTTATTGTTATTAATTTGTCATGTTATATATGCTCAGTCTGGCAGGATGACATATGGCTCTAATGCCACTGGGTATCCTGTCTTATTGTACCCCCTCCCTCTAACATAACAAGAGTTGTAACATTTACATTGCTAATAAAAACCTTACCTAACCATTCTAGACCTAATATATACTACACACTATCTTGAGTCAGTAACACCACATACCCTCACATACTGTCTCAGACACCACCTTGCATTACAGTATTTGAAAAGATGGGCTGGAAGGAAGCATGCATTGCAGAATGACTGCTCAGAAAGGACCTTTTCTTAAGCTCAAAAGCTGATGTCAAATTTTGTCCAGGAAATCTGGTCTGTTAAAAGAAGTTATAAAAGTAAACTTGCATCATGAAAGTTACCAGATCTTGTGCATATTCAAGCAAAATTATGGCAAAAGTCATAGTAGGACCCTCAAAAGATAAGACCAACCAAGGTATTATTGATGACAAAAAGGCTGCAAACATTAAATAAATTCTTTAGGTCAATGTTCACATTACAAAAATTAGAGAACATCCCAATGCCCATACAGTTGCTTGAAGCAGATAAGAATAAGTTAAGGGATATTCACATTTCTTGTGAGGAAGAGCAGTGACAAGAGATAAAGTTGTTCTGCTTGTCTGGCTATGCTTTTTTAAAAATAGATAAGGAAAGCAGCAGTAGTAGTAGGCGATGATACACAGGGGACAGATATTGGTGGGCCAACTTTAGTGACAGTGGATGGTAGATGGCTGAAATGCGAGTCTTATCCTTGATAATTCAGTGGCAGCTCCACAATTCATTCTGAATAAAATAAAGAGGAGATAACATTCTCCCCTTTTCCTAGTCTCTGTGGGGTAAGTTTACTGAGCAAAATCTGAAGCTCAACCTTTCACCTGATGGATATCAACCAGCAGGACCTGATTGTAAAAATATTTCATGATCATAGTCATTTTCTCATGTCCCAGTCTTTGAATATGTATGGTCTGTGTTAGTGTTTATCCATTCTCTATTGATTATCTATTGATTATCTATTGATTATCTATTGATTATCTATTACTTCCTGTCTATAATAACGGGTCATCTTTTTCTTGGTACTCGTGCATCACCGACACTCTTCTAATCGGTTATTGTTAATAGTAATTTCATTGATCTCTAATAGTCCACAGAATGTACAGTGGAACTACATTGAACACAAGAATACTGCTGACTGCGATACTGTGGGTCATGCCAGGCTTGCTCATGTGAATTATTTTTCTAGCACCACACCACTATTTGGATGTTAGCACCTGTAATATTACTGTGTACGATGGAGCTAGTTCATATAACAGATTCAGATGTAAAAATGGGGACTTGGGAGGCCATTCATAAGATCAGGTATTCACAAGTTGGATGTTCTCTGTTGTTAATTTTGTAGTTTCTCATTCTCCTCCACCAAATTCAGCTTTGCCTTAAACTCCATTCAGATTTTCTTGGGAGTCACTAAGCCAAATTTTGTCATAGAGCTGACAGATTAACTTGTCCTCCTACAAAGAACGTCTTTTTAACTCGTATGCGTTACACAAGACCAAAAATTGTCGTACAGTACTAGAAAATAGAAGTGGCTCACAAAAATGATGTACTGTTCCATTTTCTATTTTGGGTCCTCTGGTTGGTTAGGAGAGGACACTTTAAATAGACTGTTTTCATTGGGAAACCTCAGGAGGATGTGCTGGACAAGTAGCCCACATAACTAAACAGACTCTCACTCTTAACATCACTCAATGATCTTGCTATAAACACTCCTAACCCAGTCCAAACCCAGTTTTAAACCATCAAACTGTTTCACTCATTTTATATTATTAAATACAAATATTCTTTCAGTTTGATACGTGAAGCTGGAGGAGTATGTATTGCAGATGAAGTACAAACAGGCCTTGGACGAACTGGAGAACATTTTTGGGCTTTTGAGGTAATTGCATATAGTTACATTTTACTTAAAAGTTTTACTTTTACGTGGATCTTCTATAATTTTTCTTTCTAAGCTTGTTTATACCACAGTGCCACAAGAATCTTTTACAAATTTCCCTGTAGAGGCGTATACAATACTATAAAGTTATTGGAATAAATTATAAATTCGTCCATGAATACAGCCAGAAAGGGTTGTATATTAACTAAAAGCTTTAAGAGTCCCCCATAACATAACCTATGAAACTGCCAGTGGTAAGCTGTAGCTAAGCCAACCCACATACATTGTAACTGAAAGGAACAACCCTTGAGTATCGGGTAAACAGGGTAGGAAGGGAAGGCATTGGAGTGGCCGATAATTTGCTGGCTGGTGGGCAGTGCTTTATCCTTCATGGGTGAGGGGGGGGGGGGGGAGAAAATGGCTGCTGTTCTGTCTTTTTAAGTTGGATCCCTCGGTAGCCTGAATTTACTTCACTGACAACCCAGGGTGTATCCACAGCACCAGGCTTCTAAGCATCTTTGCTATTAAATTTTTAATATAAACATCAGTGCTCACATTTATATTAGAACCAATCACATATTAATTACAATACACATTTACATACAATAACATCCATTTGTATCTATATACAATAACATCCATTTGCATCTATATACAATAACATCCATTTGCATTCACACATTTCACAATCCAATCACTGCAGCTCATATTACTACTCTGATTGTGTGGAAACTTCATTCCTTAATGTTCGTCACAATGATTATTCACAAAACCATTCTTCTTTTAAACAAATTTGTACTGTATTCACTTTGCACCATCACTGTAGCAGTTTGTATGTATAGATCTCCTTATTTTTGTGCACTCACTAATGTTAGTACCGTACTTTTACAATTTCTCATTTATTTATATTGTTTAAACCTTGTAATTTTTGTCATGATCACACAATGCTGGGCAAAATTTTTTTTCTTGTGCAGATCGGCGCTATCAATAAGTCTCATTAATCTTGTAAATTAAACATCACACTTTCCCTCAGTTATACTAGTTTGTCTTTCAGTATTCTCATACCTTTTAATCAGTACCCTTGTATCAAGATGTTACTGTATTAGATGTAGGTGTCCTCAGCACAAAGATATCTTATAAGAGTTACCTTTTCTCTCTCTCTCTCTCTCTCTCTCTCTCTCTCTCTCTCTCTCTCTCTCTCTCTTCTACAGTACAGTACTATGATTTTTAAGGATTTTTTGATACAGTATCTCTTTCAGACTACACTAAGCTTGTGTGTTTCTTTGGTTGTATGATTTCTTATTTATGTTGAGCAGTGTAACTTAAAATGAACTAGTCATATACTGTCGAAGTAAGAGTATCACCGGCTTGCATTTTTTCTGACAAATTCAGACCCTTTGCAGAATAGGTATTTTTGCTTAAAATGCATGTTAATTACAGTTCATACAGTGGGTGCTCATGGTGCAAAAGTTGCATAGAATATTTTTTTTATTTTCAGCACTTTGGTGTTGTTCCTGACATTGTTACTGTGGGCAAACCACTTGGCAATGGTCATCCGATGGCAGCTGTAATAACTACCCGAGACATTGCTGATGCTCTTGGGGATTACTATTCCACTGTGAGCACACACGTACCAGTATTTGTTCTGTTACTTTTACCATATTTATGCATTTTATGCTTTTTACGTAAATTATCATCATAGTAGTGTGGCTTCCTTTGATCATGTTTGGATGTACGGTATGTAAGGTCATATAGAGGTGTGTGTGTTACTGTTGATGACTTGAGATTTCCCTTCTCATTTCCTCATTTCTTGAAAGATGCCTGAAAGATTTTGCTGGGTAATTAATTATCCGATTTATTTTTAGTTGTGAAATCGGTTGTGAACCAACTGCACTCGCCAACCATTAGGATACAGGTGGACTTTGTCTGTGGGTTACAGCATGGTTTAAATTCATTCTTTCACTGTTCTGGGTTTGTGCTGTTTGGATAGAGGAATGTTTTCATGCAGCTCCACTTGAAACCCTCTTGGCCAAGAATGAAATGTGTGATTCTGGAGGGGCCCTTTTTTGGTGTGGGCTTCATTCATTTAGCTTTGATTTCATCATGTGTATCCTGTGCCAGCCTTGCACACGGGAAAGGCAAAGTTATACCCGCAAACTCCAGCAAAGCATCGGTCATAAATATTATCTTGGTAAAAATGAAGGAAGACTTGTATGGAATATATGTACTGTATATATAAATTATAATATGCAAGGCCATTAAAACTTAACTCATATGAAACATAATTTTAATAATAATTTTACAAATATATATTTATATTAATTTCAGTTATTTAAAACTGCTTTAAAGTAGCAGTTTGGCAAATAATAGCTAATGTGGTTATGTATCTGTGGTATAGGACTAGAACTATAGTCATAAGATGAAGCTTGCCAGATTATGTATCACAATAAATGTTGAAACATTTCAGATGTGCTGTATTATGTCATGCTTACAACAATAGTGAAACTGAAGGCAAAGGCTTGTTTCAGTTTTACTGTACTATATGCAGTGATTAGGTCGATAAACCCAGCAATGTCACCGAGAAGTGAAAATAAAAAAAAAAATGAGAAAAAAGAAAAAGATTATAAATTATATTGTATTAATTAATATGATAGGTCACTTATTACTCGCTGTATACTCGCACATCTGTACCAGTCATGTTGATTTGCTTAGGTTCTCTCCATTCCCATGTGGTGCAGCTATTGCACCCCAATCTCCAGAAGTGTGTTCCAGTAACCAAGGTAGTGGTAGCTATATATGAGCCATAGAAACCAGATGCACTTTATACAACTGGTGACTACCCATTCTTCTATATTTCCCCCCCTATTGAGGGGGGGGGGGAAATTGGCATTGCTCAGTGATAATGCATACTGTAGCCATCTTCCCTTCACACCATTACACCTTCCCTTGCCTTTGGCATTTTCCTAATTTCTCTAACCTTCACCACTTTTGCTTTATCCCTGTAAGCTTGGTGAATATGTAGTCTTTTAGCTAACAAGATTGGACATTAATAGGATTTGCTATTTCATGCAATAGGGGGGATATGGGATTCGACCCCAGCCCACCCATGATCATCCCTGGACAAACGTATATCATCCTGCGAAGTTTAGTGAGGCTAGCCCCAAGTGTCCGGCTCCCAAACCTTGAACAGATTGACATTCTCTTATAGATAAAAAAATCATAAGTGTCTTCATATAGTCCCCTATATTATATACTCAGTGGTCATTATCACATAAAGCCCTCTCTCCAATGCCAGGACAAAATGTTGACATGCCCTGACTGTTTGGTCATGTCCTTAGCAAGAGCAGGACATAAACCTAAAGAAGTAATCGAGTGATCTGCTTCTGAAAGGAGCTCGTCTACACACAAAAGCTTTATATATAGGTTATCTATGTAGGAGACTGATAGATTATTAAGTTACTCAACTCCCTTTATTGAGATGTGTTAGTATTTTGTTTAATTTCGTTTTATATTGTTACAGTTTGGTGGGAATCCAGTTGCATGTGCAATAGGAATTGCAGTTTTGGATGTAATTGAAAATGAAAAACTGGTTCAAAGTGCCAAAGCAGTTGGAAAGACATTGTTAGAAAATTTTCAGCAACTGAAAGCAAAGCATTGTGTTGTTGGAGATGTGCGAGGAATGGGCCTTTGTTTAGGTATAGAAATTGTTAAAGACAAGTATAGCCGGAAGCCTGCTACTGAACTCGCCCAAGATATCATTTACAGGTGAAAACATCATTTACAGTATTTATTTTTAATACACATCCATATATTTAGGAGTGCAATTACTATTGTATGCGAGATGCATATTTACCTGATGTCCATATTCCTTTGAGTATTTATTTAATAAAAAGTTTACTATTCTTTTATAAAAGTTTTGTTTGCTACTATTTAGCAATACTGGGCACCAAAATAAATTATATATTAGAGCACGAAAAACCTAAAGTGTGACACTGTATTCCATAAACTTTAAATTTGTTTAAATTGTATTAAATTTTGAAAAAAAAAAAAAGGGGGGGGGGAGGATCAAAAGCAGTTAGTTTCTTCTGTTGCTCTTAGACAATCTGGCACCACAGGGGGATACACGTCTTGTCTCCATTGACACTCCCTGTGTACTTGATAGGAATTTTCAGTGCTCTTTTTGCAAGTGCAAGGTGCAGGAAGTATATTTTACTTACATTATATGAACATTTAAGCTTTAAAGAAATATGGTGGTGTAAAAAAAAAAAAGTACCGAGGTATTCACAGCAAATGGCATTTTATTATACTTGATGCTTTGTTTTTGTGCCCAGAGCTTTCTCACAACTGGGAATGATGCCACGATGCCAAGGTTCAGGAAAAGTGACAAGCATCAGCTGTTACTCACCCGTGCATCACGTATCCATGCTGAGGTTGAACAAGGCAATAAGCAGTCAACGCCTGGTTGGATTGTCAGAATCCTTGAACTATTATACTAGCAGTAGACATTTTGGCAATGATTGCCAGCAAAGGGGCGTATTTGCAATCATTAAATGTACAAGGGTAGACTCCAGCTTCTCAGAAAAAGCCAAGTCTTGGAACAAAGGACCAAAGCCCAGCACCCAAAGCATGACTATTTCACATAAAACACCTTGCCACATCTGCATAATAAATAGTATGGTGAACCTCCAGCCAGACAAACCAAGTGTCAACTAACAGGCCCTTTCTGGTTGGTAGATGCCTGATCCTTGGCAAGAAATGGATTAGGCTGGAGACAATGAAAATGATCTTAAGAACCAAAGAGCAAGAAACTCGCTGATCCAAGCTACTGAAAGCCAACGTCCAAGGCCTTGTGGCCTTGAAAGCCACAAGGCAGCAAAAAGTAGGACCCATCAAGAGAATGACACCCACAACCCTGGAAAAACCCAAAGCAGCCACCCAATCCAATGCTATGGTACAGCCATTTCCAGCAAGAGCTGTCATCAGTCTCCACTTGAATTTCCTTCCAATTGTCTATTGTCTGAACAGAGGGAGCTCATTTCATCCCTTTTTCCAGTAATGATGTGCCCAGTAAATGTCTGTTCTTGATTTTTAGGTTTAGCCTTCAGAGCAGTCCACATTCAAGGTGCCTTGCATATGATCATTGATGGTCTCTTCTCACTTTTGTCCAACTTTGATGAAGCGGGGTCTTCCTTCTTATTAAATCCTAGACGGATTTTCCTTCATTTGTTATGAAAGACGTTTGTGAGGCTGCAGGTGAATTTGTTTGCCTTGGCATGGTATCCACTGATTTCACATGTGGATTCATTTGTAAAAGTTTCTCACCCCCCAAGAAAGAGGCATTTCATTGAATTCAAGTTATTTTATCAATCAACAGTTATTTTTTGTGTATTTAGTATACTGTACTTAATTTTTTTCTAGCAAAAGTTGGTAATCATTTATATTTGTTTGCATTACTTGAGGTATATATTTTGTCACAATATATTGATCCATTTTAAAGTAGTTAACAGCAGAGCGGAGCCGGTCGGCCGAGCGGACAGCACGCTGGACTTGTGATCCTGTGGTCCTGGGTTCGATCCCAGGCGCCGGCGAGAAACAATGGGCAGTGTTTCTTTCACCCTATGCCCCTGTTACCTAGCAGTAAAATAGGTACCTTGGTGTTAGTCAGCTGTCACGGGCTGCTTCCTGGGGGTGGAGGCCTGGTCGAGGACCGGGCCGCGGGGACACTAAAAAGCCCCGAAATCATCTCAAGATAACCTCAAGATAACCTCAAGCACATTTTAAAATGCATTGTATTTAAATTACTCTGAAATATATGCACTATGCATCAATAATAATTATATTATTAAAGATCCCTTCTTTCAAATTAACAATTTACACAAACATTTTAAAGATTACTCTCAAAAGGGTAGATTCAGGTGACAATATTTATGGCCTCATTCCCATTCATAAGTACACCACTGGGTTTACAAAGAGCAGCATAGTAAAATCATGATAACAATGCAGGACTTGGTGTCGAGTCTTGGGCTGTGTTGACCAAAAAATGCAGGGTATCCAGAGTTAGTGAAAAATGCTGTAATGTAATAATAATTCATTTAGTAAATTGTGAATGAAGTTCTAGTTATTGCTGTAAATGTCTTCTTTATATCCCTCTTTTTATGAACTTTTTATCTTTTTAGATTAAAAGATGAGCATCATATCCTACTCCAGGTTCAGGGGCCAAATCGTAATGTAATTACAATAACGCCGCCCATGTGCTTCACTCAGCTCAACGCGCGATCTCTCTTTAATGCTCTTGATGCTGTTCTTTCTGCTTGTAGTGAGCAACGGCCAGGAAGGTGAGTCATATTGTGCATTATAAGTATGAAAAGTAAGTAAAATCAGTAAGACTGAGCTAGATATACTTTGCAATACTGTACTGTGTTTTTCCTATGTATAGTATATATTTGTATTTGCTTAGTACTGTATTATGTAACATATTCAGCTGAATATGTAAGCAACACATTCTTGACATCTTAACACTATGTAGTTGGATAAATTATGTGCATCACAAGAACTTTGTAACTAAATAACATTCCAAGTTCAGACTAATGTTCCTAAGTGGGGGCCTCCTCTATATTCTCTCAGCATCATAATGGGGGATGGGGAAGACACTCATACATTATAAGCATTGTTTCTCTATATAATCACAATGGGTGTGGATTACTACTGTTCCAATTCTTGATTTTGTTGCAAATGCACCATTCTCTCGTTCATACATAAGAGTTGGCCTACAACTCCTTCATCTAGTGGTTTGGATTGATTTTTATTGTTCTTCTGTCCACGGTTTTCTTTCCATACCTTTATCATTGCACATCCTAGGCATCTGTTTGACTGGCATATTACAGCACTTCATTCACATTTGTCACAATTTCCTTCTCACTACTTTTTAAAAAAATTAAACTTAACGCTTTTTTACAAGTTTTTGTAAAGTTTATAAATTTCTTACCGTCTTGAAAACAAAAAAGTAACATGCATAAAATTATAGTAATAGCACTAGGTTTCCACCTAACTGAAATATTCTTACCTTGACCTACCTCGTGACCCCATACATGTATTTAATGTAATGAGTAACCAAGGGTGACATCACACATTCCTAGCATGCACCTACATTAATATCAAACTAGTACTTTTTGCACCATTAACTCTTTAACAGAACTTGGTTAACTCCATGCATTGCTCATCACTCTTCTGAATGCTTTTCTTTGGCATAATAAATTGTGCTAAAAGACAAGAGGGCTGCAGGGAGGATTTTTTTGTTGTAGAATTATCTGGTGACTATCATCTGTAAGTATATACTTTAATGTATGATAAATAGACTGTTTACATACTCTACTATAATTGCTTGCTTTTAGCACATGTACTTCACATCACCTCATCTTATTTCTGGACATCTTATGCATGAATATACATACCGTACAATGCTATATTTCATTTGCAGATTTTCTTGTAATATAAATATACCATACATTAGTTCTTTCACTGTCATTTTTATCTAAAAAAATATATGAACTAATTTTGTAATCATTCAGCGTATTCCACTAATCCATCATTCCAATGGCATGGATGTGATAGATTTTAAGTATAAATAATGCAGGTTTTTAAAGTGATTTACATATTTTTCTAGCTCAAATATTGATGTACAACAGTCTAGACCAGTTCTCTCCACGGAAGATTTAGACAACCTTGAAGAGGAGGATGCAGAACGTCCTCAAGCAAAAAGGCCACGCACAAGCTATGATGATATAGATTAGCCGGTCACCCAGTGAGAAAAATTAAATTTTTGTAGTAAAGATTTTTTCTATTTCTTTTTAGTAAATATAATTCAAACTGCACTATAGTTGAATAGATTACTTGTCCTTTCATCAGCCAATTATGCTTGGTATATTTTGCCGTTACAGTATTGGGTATCAGTTTTCTCGGGTAGTGTGTTATTCAAATCTTATCTCACACATTGAGTGCTTTATTTGCCTAGGAAGAAGTGTGTTGGGGGGGAAGGGTACAAACAAATCAGAGCCTGTAGGTAGTTCTATATTAGTTTCTTCTTTTAACTTGTTCTACTCCCAAATGTGATGAGAAATGCCATAAAATGTTTTTTTTTTTTTTTTTTTTTTGTAGACGCTTAAATCGGGCTGATCTTTGTCAAGAATTGTTTACTTCATCCACTTTGGCTTTGTTTTAGGTTGCTTTTCTGACGCTGTTGGCAATGGCAGTTACCATCAGATACCTTCTCCAGTGTTTGTAGTGTTTCTTCAGATAGGTGGACTCAGTTTGAATATTTTCTTTTGCCTGGATAGTACTTCAGGATTTGGTTGCCAAGGCAAGCTGGTAGGGTAGAGATATTTCTCCCACCAAGCTGTGTTCCTACCTGTGCCTTTTTGCAGTTCTCTGGAGTGTTCTACAGTACCTTGAGTTCTGGTGGGCTTCTTTCTCTCACTTTTCTAGCTTGTTCCCAGACAGTTTGCACATTCTTGTACTTGTCAGTCCTTCTGAAGCTTTGGAAGTGCTTGAGTAGCCTCTTTCTTGCTGCAGCTAACCGGGTGTCCAGGGTTCTGTAATTTTTGCAATAGTTTTAGATGAGAGGGACATAGCATGAACATTCCTAGAAGTTCTGTTCAGTGGGGAATGGCCAGTCCCTCTGCATAGTGGACATTTTTTCCACCTCCATTTGCACACAGTGGCATACTGTTTTCCTGGCAGAGTTGGTGACTGTTGCTGCAATCTGCAGCAAACATGGTGTGGTATTACCATGAGACATTAATGATGTGGCTGGATTCTGACTAAAACTTAGTGTGGTGCAGATGAGCCATTAGTAGTCTGCCTGGTGGCACCTTTCCAACAATCTGTTCATATCCTTCTTAGTCTGATACTGGCACTTTGGACCCCCCGAGGTATTGAAGGTCTGCACTTCTATTGCTCCTCGTTTGTGTGTGGGCGCCGAGGATCGGGGTTCTTTTACCGTGTCTCCATTCATATATTTTTACTAAATTGGCTGTTTTACAACTTTTTGGTAGGTCTTATAGCATATGGCAACCATAGGGCTTTCACTATCTTTTTATAGTATCCATGCTGGGATTCCATTTGGTTAAACAGCTTTTGGTGTGCCTAGTTCCAGCAAATGCCTCCTTACCTCATCTGTGGTAATCTAAAATTCCTCCTTCATTCTGGCATTTTAACCATGAATGCCATGAACTTCAGAGTGTAATCAGAAAGATATTGCACATTAGTGTATTTGCTTACATACAATGCTTTACATGAAATGTTTTGATAGGTTACCAATGTATGGCAACCACCGAGCAAAGTTTAATTTAGGAAATACAGTATGGTGAAATAAATCAGTGATTCAAGACCATTTAATAAGGTATTAAAGAAGAATCCAAATGTACTTGTTGTACATCCTGTGTGTCCCAAATGAGAGTATTTAAATTTCAGTGTATCGCAGAGATCTGGAATGGGTATTGGCCACCCATCAGTTACAGAGGCAGTGGCTGCCTCCTTATCTAGTGTCGAGCACAGCCAGGCTTGTGTTACATCTGGGATTCTGGTGGGTTCTCATGAGTGTTCTGTGCCATGCTTCCCTGAGGAACTTCCTAAGGCACCTCTAAGCTGTTGCTCAGAGTGGGCTATTGTGTGGAGAGGCCTGAAAACAAGCCTGCTGCCTACTTTACTACCTTATTCCCTTCTCCTAATGTATAGAATGGGATGGATGAGATGCACATGTTTTTTTCTTTAAATTTCACTTATTCAGTCTTGGGTAAATTTGGAGGGATCCAATAAATTGTGCTTCTTGACTTCATCATTGCACTGTTTGCCTGTGTTGAATATCTGAAGTACCTCTTATCAATAATCTGTGAGCACCATATCATGAGGCATCTATCCTTTTCCTTTATAATGTCTGAGTGGGATACCTCATGCTATCCTAGCAGCATGGAGTCGCTTATGCAAGTGTTGAAAAATCTTGGGCCTTTGATGTTGATAGTTCTCTCTCAGCATATCTATTGCACCTCTCCTTTTCAGTGGGGCTATTTTGCACATCCTACCATGCCTTCTCGTCTTGTGTGGTTATTTTCATTTGAAACCAGTCTTTATAGTATATTCTGCATATATATTATGAATCTCTTCCACCTGTACCCGTGGGAATACAGATTTTAAAATTTTAAGGGGTCCCACTAATTTAGATGTTTTAAAGTGGATTCTAGCAGTAAGAGATCTTTGCACACGCTCCTGGTCAGCAATTTCTCCAGCTTTCAATCGGGCTGTTAGTGTGCAGCAATATTTCATCTTGGCACCGATTTTTTTTTTAAAGAGTATTGTATTTAATATATGGTATATACACTTCAAACAATAAATGCCAATCTGAATAGTGATATTTTTTAAGAAACTGGTATTTTGCATTGGAATATTGTTGCACATAATGACCCTTTCATTTGTGGAGAGCATACAGAAACTAAAGTGTTTCAAATGTAGCTGCAATAGAGTCCAATAGACTCAAGAACCTGTACATAGCATAGCAGTATGGGCCAAATGGCCCCTCGTTAAAAGAGTAGGGCATACGATAATCTATATTACAATTCTATAAACATTAAGGGGCCCGAGATATAAATTTAAGTATAGGAGACATTACTAACAGTGCTAAAAAAAAGAGAATAAGAACAATTCAAAAACATTCCTGATCAGTGAGGCTGTAATTTCTACATTATGCTGCATACAGCAGTGTCCAATAGTTTGGTAAAGCAACCCTTCAGTTTAGATGCATGGTCATGGACATACTGATCTACAGGACTATGACAAGGTAGGTAAAGCTGTGTAATGCATCAAATTACTATATTGTGAAGTATTAAGTATTCCATTACCTATATTGAACATAAATTGTGTAAGTAGTACTGTACCTAGCAAGTAAAAGTTCCTTTGATTCTCATCCTGATCCTATATATTGATTTAATCCAACTCCACAGTGGAATAGAAATGATAAATTTCAGGTGCCAACACGTCCTGTGGCACAATCTGACTACAACTTCCATGATAGGGTATACACCATCATTCATTGAGAGATGACTGCTGTTATTGATGTCTTGGCCTGGGTTTCACACTTGCAGCTACAAGAAATTGCCAGAAGTTGAATAATACTCATGTAAGTCTTACCATGGCATGTGGTATATATGTTACAACTATCACCTTTGCAGAGAATATCCATGTACAATAGTTAACTTCTGCTCTGTTTACCTGGTCATTACCAAATTGCATACTCATTCTTGAGTGTAACATTTTGCAGATTCTATTTTCAGAATAAAGCTATACAAAAATTTATCACTACTCACAACTTGACAATGGGTACATAAAGAAAATTGACCAAGTGTATCTTTTAACATATAAAACAAAACTCTGTTGCAGCAATTTCTTCACTAATTGCTTCAAGCACAAGATAATGAAATGAAACATCAAATAATGCAAAATGGCACATTTATTATTCTACAGATGAAGTCCATGTTGAGTACCCTCGTGGATAGGCTGACACAGCGCCCACTGCACTCGTCTTACAATATTTGTACACATCACGTCATCCGACTGGGTCAAGTGCCGCAGCGCCTGGAAGCTCTGAGGCACGCCAGACTGGTGCCCGAACTCAACACTCCCCATCCTCAATATCAGCTGGGAGGGAGTAAAGGTAGCATTGGTGTAGGGTGGTGAGCCGGCAGAGTTTATTGAGTGAGCGTTAACACGAGGAACAGCATTGTCCCTGCGAGTCTCAGGCGTACCAGGATGGATGGAATATTTCTGACAGATAAAATATTTAAATATGAATCTTGAAAAATGCACAAGGAAAAGTCCATGAATCTAATGCTGGCTGCTCCTGTCATTAAACATCATCTCAACAAACCATCATAATATCTACAAAGTTGAGAACACACTACAATAAAATATTAAACATTTTATGTCAATAATTTCAATAATCTTTTTAACCAATTCTTAGCTAAATAATCTTGTGGAAGGTCTAAAGCAATTAAATCACACTGGAGGCTCCAGATCTCCAATAGCTGTGCCTTGTAAACCTGATAGTCAGATGCAGTAGGCCTACAGCGAACTGTGTATAGAAATCAGGGTCATGGTTGTGTTTTTTAATTTATAATAAATTATCCAATAGAACTGGATATTAATAAGATAACATATGTGCAAACACCACCATGTACCTGCTATGTACACATGTTTTAACAATGTAAATGTCAAAGTGCAGTCCAGAGATGAGTGGGTTTGGTATTGGGTCCATAGACCACAGTTGTAACTATCAACAAAAGTTACATAACACTTCAATTGGAATGTTTTAGAATGACATTATTACAAGAAATCTGCACCATTTTGCAATCAAAGTAACACTTTTTAACAATGCCAAGTAATAACAAAATTTGTAGATGACATTCGGCTGCAATTTAGGTGCAACACAATTACAGAAATTTCTCCAATTATCAGATGATATGTCTAACAGCAAAGCTACACACAACATCTTTCAAGCTGCTGTTTCCTTAGCTGAATAGTGTGTTAAAAATCAATAATTGTCAAATATGTATCACTTACTTCCCCATGATAGAAAACTGATGTTGAGGCACTGTGGACTGATTGGCCTCCTTCCACTCATGACAAAGGTGGACACAGAGATCCAGTTCTAAATAATGAGTACAAAATAAAAATTATCAATAAAGTCAGCAGATGAACACAGGAAAATGGGAAGCACTAACAACTACACTAAAATTATGCACTTAAAAGAGGAGTTGCTCAACACAGTGAAGCTACCATTATAATCTTAGCTTCTGAATCATAATCCTTGATGTAAACCATCTGTTCATAATAGCATTGTGCATTCTTTACATTACTCTTTTTCTCAGAATAGATCACCTAGCTAAAAATGTTTGTTTAATAAAATAATGAGTCATTCTGTACACAATGTATAGTAATTATGTATACAATGCTAAACCTAGTGAAGTCAGGTTCATTGCTCGGTCTTCACCACCAGCTCAGAGTACGTGGCCAGTATGAAAGCCAACTCAGTTCATCACACTGCACTATTCAGCTTCACCCCACACTTCAAGGCATCTTGTCGCTCTTTTGTATACACTTTCCAAATTCTTACAACAATTTTGAGTCATTGCTCAACCTTGCAAAATTTCTTTGGGAGCTCAGATACACACAAAGACTTGCAGAACTTCATTTTGCACATTTCAGGATAAGTGAAGCTACGACCATTGTCACATCATGACCAAGCTTAGGCTGCCTTGTGATATGATTGGCTGCGAGATATGTTGTGGAAGATCGCACGCAGGAGACCACACACTGAGCTGCACTGGGCAGGGGGGGTTAGGGGGCCCTGGTGTCCTAAACAAATGTTCAAAACTGTCCCATCCCTTGCCATTCCCTTGGCTGCTTAAAAAATATACACTAAACACATATAATTGCCCTATGTCACGATCCCCTGCCACACGGATGTGCCACATGCTGCCTCTCTCGCACAGGCCTTGTGAGTGGCTCGGCTGTACATACCAGCCCCATTAAAGGGGGGGCTCCACAACCCCCCAATGTAGTCCTTGTTGGGAAGGGCTACAGCTGCTGCCAGTGGTGGTCAGGTAACTAGTGAGGTCCAGCTCCACCATGGCTTAAATGATCACCCTGTAAATAAAAGAAATGTACATTACAAAAAGAAAAAAAAGTTCATCGTTTTAAGATGAACTGTGTGTTCACATATAATGTCTGTGAGAAGACATTACCATACTTAATATACTTAACTAACAATTTGTTTAAATACAGCATTGTTAACTCGTCCAACATGTGTATGTATATATTGAACGTGTGTGTGTGTGTATATACTATATATATATATATGTCGTACCTAATAGCCAGAACGCACTTCTCAGCCTACTATGCAAGGCCCGATTTGCCTAATAAGCCAAGTTTTCATGAATTAATATATTTTCTCTAATTTTTTGCTTATGAAATGATAAAGCTACCCATTTCATTATGTATGAGGTCAATTTATTTTTATTGGAGTTAAAATTGACGTAGATATATGACCGAACCTAACCAACCCTACCTAACCTAACCTAACCTAACCTATCCTATCCTTATAGGTTAGGTTAGGTTAGGTAGCCGAAAAAGTTAGGTTGGGTTAGGTTAGGTAGGTTAGGTAGTCGAAAAACAATTAATTCATGAAAACTTGGCTTATTAGGCAAATTGGGCCTTGCATAGTAGGCTGAGAAGTGCGTTCTGGCTACTAGGTACGACATATATATATATATATATATATATGTCGTACCTAGTAGCCAGAACGCACTTTTCAGCCTACTATGCAAGGCCAAATTTGCCTAATAAGCCAAGTTTTCATGAATTAATTGTTTCTCGACTACCTAACCTACCTAACCTTACCTAACCTAACTTTTTCTGCTACCTAACCTAACCTATAAAGATAGGTTAGGTTAGGTTAGGAAGGGTTGGTTAGGTTCGGTCATATATCTATGTTAATTTTACCTCCAATAACAAAAAATTGACCTCATACATAATGAAATGGGTAGCTTTATCATTTCATAAGAAAAAAATTAGAGAAAATATAATAATTCAGGAAAACTTGGCTTATTAGGCAAATCAGGCCTTGCATAGTAGGCTGAGAAGTGCGTTCTGGCTACTAGGTACGACATTATATATATATATATATATTTTATTAAATATGACCGAAAAAGTAAGATTAATAATTCTAACACGAATTTTCTCAATCTTTCGTACATTATGCTTCTGTATAAACTGACGATTTACTATAAAACCAGAAAAACGGCCAGCCTACTCATGAGAAACTCTCCAGACATGAAACAGAACGCTTTAAAAGAGACTAACGTCGTCTATGCCTTCAAATGCCCACTTGGGGACTGTAAGCTCCAAAAAACCCAGTATATAGGCAAGACAACAACATCTCTTTCTAGGCGTTTAACGATGCATAAACAACAGGGCTCCATTAAGGAACATATAATCTCTTCCCATAACCAAACCATCGCCAGAGAAATCCTAGTAAACAACACAGAAATCATCGATAGATACAGCGATAGCAGGCGGCTTGACGTTTGCGAGGCACTACACATCAAGAAGTCAACACCAGCAATCAACAGCCAATTATTGCACAACTATATTCTACCCACCTCAAGACTCCGCTCCAATATAGAAGCATCAAGAAATATGGACCAATAGGCTTTCTACAAACACTTCTATTCAATATCCATTGTTTCGTGTTCTGTCTTGTGTTGATACTTTTAATACCCTATTAATATCCTCTAATGCCACATCATCCTTCCCACCTCACTCAAATGTAATGCCACATCACCCTTCCCACCTCACTCAAATGTAGATATAAAATCAGGGAAACGCAAGTTCTAATCAGTTGTGTATTTGTGAAGTCTTTGAAAATGTAATAAGTTTTACGAAACGCGCCCGTGTCGCGTCAGACTAGAAATAAAAATGAATTTTGGAGAAGTGATTTTTGATTTACCTCCAACAGTGAAGCATAATGTACGAAAGATTGAGAAAATTCGTGTTAGAATTATTAATCTTACTTTTTCGGTCATATTTAATAAAATATGTCTACAGGAAAGACTGCTACCAAAATATACTAATATATATATATATATATATATATATATATATGCATATTGTGCATATTTAGCCTTAGTTAGGTTAGGTGTATAGGTTCTGTTGGCAATTATTTGCATTTGTAATAAGTGGGTGAAGCATTTACGGCGTTGAGGTTCTAACAAAAGTCGTCAGCGAGGCACTTGTTCCTGACGTGGTCATCAGTAGTCATGTGTAAAACGTTTTTCATCCATAAACGGTGTTCGGCAAGTGCATGGAATGAACTTTGCCCTTTGTTTATGAGGACAGGCTGTATAATTACAATCAGTATCTAAGAACCAGACGATGGCAAGCCAGATAACACACAATCATTTAATTTATTACTTACGGGCAGATTTGGGAAGGGTGGGGCCATACTGGAAGGGTGTGGTAGATGTGGTGGTGGTAGTTTATCAGACTTCTCCTCTTCACGTCGCTTCAAACAAGCTGCCTTGGGATTCAGATTACGCTCTGGTGGGCAAAAGCATTATTAAATCAGTAATTATTCTACATAACGGAAATTTCAAACATTATGCCCAAGATTTTTTATTTCTACCTTATCAATGTCTCACATTTGATGAAAGTAAGATAGTGGTAGTATTTGTCTTAAGACTTCCAAAACTCTTGTTAACACAATATTATTCAAATGTGCACTGTATCAATATTTAATGCCTTTACACAAAATACTAATTTATTATGCACATTTCTGAAGTAATTAAAGATATCTTTACATTATTTAATGTGTAAATGATGTTTTGAATTTTAAGCAAATCAAAAGAAAATACAAATTATGATTTTTGTATCAAAACTTCAAGATAATTCATTTTTAAACAATTTAAATGAATACTCATTGTACTGTACATATTTGAAGCATTAACCACATTATTTTGTAATGGCAAGATGATCCATAAGCTGATATTAATTAATGACCAGCAGTCTACTTTTGCCAAATTATGACCAAACATCATACAGTTAAAATTAATAAAGTACAGTATTGAGAAGCAAATATTTCTTATCTTATTCACAGTTAAAGTGGTGCTGTCAATTGAAAATATAAGACTGAATTGAAAATGATACTAATAATATTAACATATAAGGAAAGAAAACAAATTAGAAGTAGAGGAAAATAGTAAGCCAGTTCTTGTGCTATGGCAACACAAACATCCAAGAACACCACCCAATCAAACACCCTCACAACTCCCATACCATCTAATCTGAACAGGACAAAAATCCAAACATGCAGCACAGGCTATACAAACAATATTTATGCAAAATAAATATAATAATGATGATAAACATTCATTATATAAATAAATAAAATATACCAAACCCACACATCTATACACACATACAGTATATATATAATATATATATATTTTAAATGTGACCAGAAGAGTTGCACTAGAACCAATGATTCTACTGCATATCTTCCCTATTTTCCCTCAATTGAGACAAGTTTAAAGATTAAGTCCAAAAGTTCATATTTACACTTTTATTTCGCCTGATGCTAAGAGATGTGTTTTTGTTAACTCTTTGTTGACATTGTCAAAGGCAGAGTTTGAATGATTACAAAGTGTTTGCATAACCAGACCATCAAACATATCCCGACACACAACACCAAAATAATTGACAGATACAGTGACAACAGAAGATTGGATATCAGCGAGGCACTATACATCAAGCAAATCATGCCAACTAGCATGAAATTACACTCTGACAACTTCCAGAACATGATGGAATACATAACATACAGCCCCAGCCATCATGCAAACAGAAGATTGACAAAATACAATGAAACTATAAGTGAAGTGTTTCACCTCATCCTCGGGTATATATCTTGCGGCAAGAAACTTTGTAATCATTCGAACTCGGCCTTTGACAATCTTAACAAGAGTTAAACTGAATCCCTTGGTATCAGGCCAAATAAAACTAAAAATTCAATTTAGAGAGTTGATTTTGAACATCCTTCTCAAGTGAAAAAAAATGTAAGGAATATAGAGAAGATCTGCACTAGAATAATTGATCTCCCCCTTTCAATCACATTCAATAATATATGCCTACAGGAAAGACTGCTACTAAACATATACACACACACACACACACTACAGTGGATGCAATTTCATTCACATTGGGCACTAGGTGCCTCGAACACCCATCCTCTGATGGGATGTGGACACTACCAACTGTACTATGGATCAGCCTTAAAAAGAGAAGATTCCCAAGGCAACTGTAGGAACCACAGTGTGTGTGTAATTATGGTACCTAAGTGTAGTTACAGGATGAGAGCTATGCTCGTGGTGTCCTGTCTTCCCAGTACTCTGTGCCATATAATGCTTTGAAACTATTGATGGTTTTGGCCTCCAGCACTTTCTCACTTAGCTTCTTCGAACCGTCTACCATTCTGTTTGCAGAAGAAAATTTCCTAATATTTTTTTGGCACCTTTGTTTCCTTTGCTTGAATCTGTGCCCTCTTGTTCATTAAGTTGCTAGTTTCAGGAATTCCTCTTTGTCAATTTGGTTGAGTCCTGTTAGTATTTTGTAAGTGCTGATCATATCACCTCTTTTTCTTCTATTTTCTAGTTTTGGCACGTTTAACGCCTCTAGTCTCCCCCCGTAATTCTTGTTTTTCAGTTCTGGAAGCCATTTCATAGCTTGCAATTGTGCCTTTTCCAGTTTATTCATGTGCGTCTTGAGATTTGGGTACCATACAACTGCTGCATATTCCAATTTTGTCTCACAAAAGTCATGAACACTTTCTTTGGTATTTCACCATCCATATAATTAGAAATGAGTTTGAAGTTGTAAAGCAACGCATACGCTCCTCTCACATGGTTCTTTGTGTTCCTCTGGCGACAGCTTACGATCCAAAACCACCCCTAGGTCTTGTTCATTATTAGAGTTTTGTAATTCCTTTTCACATAATTTGTAAGTTGTGTGTGGTCTGTTTTCTCTGATTCCACATGCCATAGCATGGCATTTATTCACATTGAATTCTATTTGCCACTTGATGCTCCAAGCACTCATTTTATCTAGATCAATTTGAAGGGCATTACAATCATCTATCTTCTCCAGTATCTTAGCATCATCCGCAAACATGTTCATATAATTCTGTATTCCTTCTAGTAGATCATTTATATAGACAATGAGCATTACTGGTGCAAGAACTCAACCCTGTGGTACTTCGCATGTAACACTCCTCCAGTCAGTCAAACCTCTAGTCAAACACTCCTCTGTTTCTGATTACTGCCCTCATCAGTCTGTCAGTTAGAAACTTTTCATCCATGTCAGAAGTCTCCCTGTCACTCCTCCAGCACGTTCCAGTTTCCAGAACAGCCTCTTGTGTGGGACTATATCAAAAGCCTTTTTTAAGTCCAGATAAGTCTGTGGCTCATCATAAAAACTAAGTAGATTTGTAGACTTAACCACACACCCGAAGATAAAGAAACGACGACATTTTGGTTCGTCCTGGACCATTATCAAGTCGATTATCCAGGATGGACTGAACCGTTGTCTCCATCTTCTGGTGTGTGGTTAAGTCTTCATGTCTTCATCCACATTATTGTGACTCATCGTCTGCCTAAGTTCTTCCTGTTGGATCTTCATAGGATCCGTACATAGGATCTTCCTGTTTGAAGATCATATGTATTTGTGTGTATGTGTGTGTTTAATATTTGTATATGCAGAATCGAGCTACTAGCTCTTGGACCCTGCCTTTCTAACCAGTGTATTTTTCCTCTATTATATCTACTCTCTCTCTATATACTATATATTTCTCTCAAACACATGCATACACACACACACGTGTGTGTGTGTGTGTGTGTGAGATTATATATTATATATATATATAAATATATATTAAATACACACACATATATATATACATACACAAATACAAAAAAGGGAGGTGGTAGGAGACTTAAAGAATATGGAAACTGCAAGCCTTACAAAATCCCCTTTAATGCTTTGAGTGTGCTTTTTCTCCGAGGCTTTGTCCCCCCTTCTTCCAACCAGTAGTGGTACCCCCTATATATAATTACCTATATTATAGGTACCCCCTATATATATATATATATATATATATATATATATATATGTATAGTGTATATATATACACACACACATCATACAGACAAAATGAAAATAAAATTAACAATAAAACCAATAATCCTATAGCAGGATAAAGTCCATTCAATAAAGATAAAATGATAAAGTTTAAATAAATAAAGTTTAGAATACGAGAGAGTGAACATTACCTACAAGTTCATAGTAAAAGAAGATGGCTAAGCAGGTAACTCATGTATCAAAATCAACAATGGGCTGTTATTAATAGCTTTAACTTGATATTAATAAAAATTCTCATATCTAAGATAAAATGTTTAATTTCTGAATGCAGAAAACTATTAATTAAAATTGTCTGCCAAGCTAACACTTTATGCCATCTTCAGCATGTAGAGAAGACTCGGGTTGCATTAGCTTAGCTCAGTCTTACCATAACTTATGGCCTCCATGCATCTGAGCAAAAACTGCCCATTGTAAACAAATTTACCAAAAGCCCTTAATTCAGTGATGCATTCAGTTGAAATACAATGTGCAATATTAATCCCCCAAATGAAAGACAATGCTAGCAGATTTTGATGAAAAATATTCTTTATTCACAAGGCTCATCAACCATCTAACAAACCAGAAAGATGTGCCCTTGAAAACTCCTAGGATAAAACTCAAGAAGTAACCAAATAAAAACTTAACTGACTAAATACAGTACAGTAGTTCCAAAAGATATTTCACACAGCTGATCTGATAACTATGTGACTTAATGAAGGCATAACATGAGACACCAATGACTGCACTGAGTCAATTAGTAACAAGTGTGTACCTCTGACTTGCTGTTCGAGCGACATAATAACATCAACTGCCATGTTGAGAATGCCCAACTTAGTCTGGGGCTTGTCAGTTTTCAGATGTGTCATGCACATCCTTCCCAGTTCCTTGAGAGCGTCGTTTATGTCACGGATTCTGATCCTGGTGGATGAAAGAACAGGTGATGGTGTGTTAGTGCTATTAGTTAGTGGGTGGGTAAAAACCCCAAGCTGGGAATATCTCTACCCTACCCAACACTCATTTCCAGCCACCCATACCACACTACAATCACTTTTGGTCTCTTAGCCATCCATTTGTAAAAACAAATGCCCACTTTTCAAGTGAACCTGTGATATGAGTGGTAGTGGGTTGGGAGGGGGGGTTGAGGGTGGGTTAAGGCAGTGTAGCCCCCAGGGGTAGGGTCAGCATGGGAGGCTTACCTCTAACCTGCTGCTCCAGAGTGGTGATCACCTCCACTGCCATGTGCAAAATGTTTAGCTTGGTCTGCGCCTTATCATTCTTACAATGGATCATACACATACGACCTAATTCCTTAAATGCTTCATTTATATCACGAACTCGTACTCTGAAAGGCAAAACCGTAAATGTCATCATCAATGATAACCAAGGGATTTCAGATGTGAAACGTGCTTGAATGCACTTCACGAAATCATGAAGCACGCAAAAGTTTAATGGTGTATTTAGTTACAGACCATCTGCGTATGTAAGAAAGTAGCCCCTTCATATCTGGGTTATTTAATAGTTACAATTAATGAGCACATTTACGGTTTCCAATCTTACTCTTGACTAAAATTCAATATTGTAATTTGAACATGTTTACGTAACTATAAATCTGGAAGTGAAACTTGTATATTAATACACACACACATCAAGTTATGCATGTAAAAGAAAAGTCTGTGACAACACCCAATATGAAGGGGAAATATAAAACCAAGCAAAAGCATATGAAGAATTAGACATACAGATTTAATTAAAAATGGGAAGGAAAAGAACTACAAGATAAAATCATATTTTTTGTAGTTTAAAAAAGTGTTTGTAAAAATTATAAGAAGTTGACGGAAAACTATACTTTCTATGCTACAAAATAATTACCTTTAAAACAAAGTAGAAATTAAGATAACTAAATCCATATTACAAAAATCAACCATTGAATGTAATGAAATAATCTCTTCTGGGCAGCCTCATTTGTTACTTGATGCATTCACCGATACCACAGCGAATGGTATAAAAGCCTATAGCACTACCTTTGCACTTGTGCTCATAGAAGCAAGCAGATCATAGGAATCGGATATTGACACAAAACACGGTAAAACCAATTAGAAAACATGGAAGTAAACCAAAGGTATCTTTATTAGGGAGAGAAAAGGATGAAACAAGGCCAAGCAGTAGTTTGCTGAAAGTAAATAATCATTGCACCAGTAAAGCCTAAAGAGTAAAGTGGTGAATCAAACCGTTTCATCAAGCTCTCCTCCCTTCTCGAGTCCAAACCATGCGATCCCACCAGAGGCAAAGCACCGAACAGCACAGGAAGTGGTACATTGCCTTCATGCAAACACAGCCAAGGAAAAAGATCATGCAGGCAAAGGTGCTTGCTCCAGTAGAAAGGCGAGAGTTCAGCAACAACGACTGGACATGGTGATGCTCGACCCTTTCTCTCCAATGGTCTGCATAACAAGGCAGACCATTGAGAAAAAAGGGAGGCTGTGCTCATGATCCAGGCCAACCCCAAATCAAGTCAACAACTGGGACTTTCTCCAGTTGATAAGGATGTCAACCCTCACAAATTGGAATAGAACAAAATCCCTGGAACAAAACCAATCAGTCATCAAGGTAGACCACAATCTAAATGTCAACAATATGAAGATAACAAAGCATAACCCAAGTATCCAGTAACTTCAGCCTTTGACTCCAACCTGTGAATCAACCTTGACAGACTTGTATTTTACCCTTTAATCTTGCCAGACGTTCTATTATCCTTTTCCTGATTACACAGGATAATTTACTCCAGTAAATTACACGGGATGCACAGCCTCCTCGCTGATGCACAAATGTCCCAATGATGTGCAGGACTAACTTTGCTATAAAACATGGCCAACAAATATAGAAGCTCAACCATAAAAAACTGGCTAATGAAATTCAAACTATCAAAACTTGGTTAGAAGATAATTAAGATCTACAAGATATATTGTCCCAACATACAAGATATTGAGTGAAATATAGGAGGGTTACAGACATTCTATTCCACATGGAGGAAAATACAATAAAGGAGTACAGGTTGAAGTTGTAAACACAAGTGAGTTACAAGAGATGCAAGAAAGAACTATGCACACATACATCATGGGTGGTAAACACACAAGAATATATGCACCAAGTACAACACCCAACAGCTAGGAATTGAGACCCTAAAGGTCTTCCTATAGGTACAGATAGTTATGAACAATGATGGACAGCTAATGGTATCACTATCCATGAAGCATTTGTATAACTGAAGTGATGCTTTTGTTTTAGTTCAAGAATTAATGTTATTGAATATAACATGAACCTAGGGCATTGAATCTTCATATAATACTAAAAAAAAACACAAAGAACACAAAAAAGTGACAAGTTAAAGAAGTAAGGAGTTAATAAGACAAATATAAATGAAGGTGTGCGAATTTGTGGCTAAACCAACACTGTTACAAACTAACTATGAAGCAGCAATTAAACATGCAGTCATAAACATTGCTCTTGCAATGTCATTTGAATTTACAATCAGTTGAATCAAATGGCAGATATTAAAAAAGTATATGCTGTTCACTGTTGTTCCACAGTTTGTCACAGTCACACATTACAAGAACATGAAAACCGATGAACTAGTATAATTAAGCCATAATGCACATAGTTTAAAAGATAATTTATTTTCCAAATACTATACATTGTAATTATCAACACTATTACCTCCATTCTCATGGAGGGAAGGGGTAGGAACTCACACCAGAAAAGTATTGTAGGAAAAATAAGAAAAAAGTGCAAGAGATGAGTCACAATAACGTGGCTAGAGTATGTTGACCAGACCACACACTAGAAGGTGAAGGGACGACGACATTTCGGTCCGTCCTGGACCATTCTCAAGTCAATTGGTCAACATACTTAAGAAAAAAAGTATCACCTATTTAAATGCTGATACCATTTTCAATCTCTTCAAAGACATACAGTAGAACTTTATTATTTTGAAAACAAATTGCAAAAGTAGACATTATCATGCCTTGTGCACATATATGATACTGTACTGTATTACTAAAACATTTTTATTAAAATTGATTCTTATGATGTTATTTAAATTATCTTTCTAAATAATATGGTTCCACTATAGAGTATTGGCATCACACTAAAAAATAAAAAACTTGCTAAATCAATTCTATCAGTTTACATTAATTCAGATAACATTAATAATAATGAAGCATGACAATCTGGTATCCTACCTTTCCCTGGCGTTGTTCGCTTGGCGACGCTCTTTTTCCCTTAGCGCTTTAGTTTCGGGGTCTGTACATTCTTCATCCTCCGTGCTGGAACCAGAACTAAGAGGCGTCAGTATAAAAAGCCTCAAATAAAGCTTATCTAAAATTCAATTAATATTAATATTCTCACAAATAGATATCTTCAGAGATACAATTTACAAAATTTGACATAATAAGCTACGTTACATAAGGAAACCCCTTAACTCTCACAAACTAACCAACACAAGTTACTTAAATATCTCTCAGGTAAAATGTGGAGAAAACTGAATAATGGATGGCAGGGAAAATGTTTGATATTTCATATACTGCATTAAGTTTAATCATTGCAATACTGATGATCTTACATTAGTTTTCAACTTGTAAGACACAGAATTTACTAGTTCCCACTACCACCTTCCAGGATCACAAATTCACTTAACTAATTTTATCTTTATCATGGCTACTTTCATACTAAACCAGAAGACTTGACTCACTGCTGAGCCGAAGCCAGAAGTCTGAGCAGAGGTGGGCCAAGCTGCTTTGAAGGGTCAGGCAAGCAGGACTGGGATAAACTAAAAGAGCAAACTATTTCATTGCTTGTGAAAAAATATTATGGTTTATCTCATTCAAATACTCCATGATTCTTAATATATAATATTTTTTATGAATTTCTAGTACTGTATTAGACAAAATTTACTTTTGGAAAATACTGTATACAGAGTTGAAGGTGGACAACAAGCCCATCTATGCAAAGGCCCGGCACTTCTCAAACACTGGTGTAATACAACTCAAAGCATGTGAGATGGGACTAACACAATGAAGGCCTAAAATCCTATGAACACCAAAAGATGCTGCTTAAGAAAGTAGAACTTGTAAAGTTCATTAATGAAAATAATATCAAAATTAGTGTTCAAGAGTAATGGCCTCTAATTGCACCCAACTCAGCATGCACAAAATAAAAATACCACTACCTGCGAGAGCGTTTGCCACCCTTTGCTCCAGCTGGCATACTTCCCGCAACTGTGGTTGTTGACAGATGTGAGCTTGATAATTCTTCTGATTTTACTTCCAATTTCTCTTTAACACTGTCACCTAGGCCTGAAACATAACATTTCTCATATTTTGGTACTGTCCCTCTCAGAATTCTTTTATTATACAGTATTAAATTATTATACTGTATTTCTCTAGTTTTTTTTATACTTACTGCATTTTAATAGGTTTTTGTTTGCGTCCAAGATATTTTCCAACAATAAAAGCAAAGTACCCTGCAGTTCCTCTACAAATCTTCTCTATACAGTAATTGGTGCACTGTAGAGTAATTACTAAAAGGAAGTCTCAAGTTTGACTGGTTGTTTTTAAAGCAGAAGGATACGTGTGACGGCAATGTACTCCAAGGTTCTAATAGTTAACCCTTTGTAGACTCAGTTCCAGAGACCTCCTCTGAACTGAATTTTTAAAAGGTGCAAAATTAATAATATACTGTATACAGTATGTCTGATAGAATTGTAGATGACTATATGACAACACCACAATACAGAATATATAATTCAAAGAGTATAACAAAAATTGCAATGGTGTTGCCACTTGAAATCTGAGAGCTAATTCCGAATATTTGCCAAACATATTTGTAATCACCGCATTTCTAGACACTTTAATACATAGCATATAAATACAGTAAATTTTGTTAATTTTTTATGCTTGTATTTTGGCAACTGTGAGGTGTGCTGCCAGAAAGGAATGTTTTAACATTTTACCATTGGAACGGATCAAACTATGCATATGGAAATTGTTCAAATACTATAACATGGTTCATCCCCTTGTAAAAATTATTTGGGAGCAATATGATTCAATTTGGAATCAAACCGAGTTGAGGGAAAAACTCCACAGACCCTAGGTCATATGTCGCAGGTACACAAGAAATTAATAATTTTATGGCATATGGCATATGATAGCATCCGTAGTGGGTTAACAGCAAATATTCACAGGGATGCTGTGTAAACAAATTATTGTAGTAAAATATACATGAAGTATTATTGTACTAGAGTATTCATGAAGTATTATTGTACTGGAGTATACATGAAGTAGGTTCTGGGAGTTCTACTCCAAGCCCGGCCTATGGCCAGACTTGGCTTGTGATAACTTGGTCTAGCATGTTGTTGCTTGGAGCAGCCTACAGGCCCACATATCCACTCCAACCTGGTTGGTCCAGTGCTTCTAGCAGGAACTTGTGTGATCGTTTCTTGAAGTCAACCTTTGTTCTGGCAATATTTCTTATGCTTGCTAGATGGGTACTGAATAGCAGTGAACCTCTGATGTTCCAACCCAGAAACCTGTTTAGATAGTACTTTTTGTAACTATGTGGACCATCGTACATACATAGACGTACTGTAATGGACAAATAAATAGTAGAATTTGGTACTATTCACTCTATAGAGTTGGAATAATATAAATTTAAAAACCAAACTTAAATATTCCTAGGCCTAGCATAGCACATGTATTAGGCCTCGTATAGCAAGTATAAGGCCTAGGCCTACCTAGGTTAATTTTTCTTAGCAACTTCAATACAAAACCTTTTCCCGTTTATCCAAATTCAATACATAGTACCAATTTCTACTTTCTAATTGCCTTTTAAGTCAATATATGTACAATAGTGCTCATCGTTACTATACGTATTACCTAAACAGGAGGATGGGCTGGATGTTCATAGAATGCCATCTGATTGTACCTATGGCATCTCTACTCCTCACGGGTTCTATTCTGCATTTCTTTCCTTATCATTTGCTCGAGTATGGTATTTTACTGTGCATATTTGGGACCTGGCCTTCCAGTATCTTCCACACATATATTATGTAATATTTTTCTTGTCTACTTTTTAGAGAGTACATCTTGAGAGCTTTGGGTCCCAGTAATTTAGATGCTTTATCATGTTCATGTGTGCCATATATGGTCTTTCTATTCCCTCTCAAAAATATCTCCTGCTCTAAAAGGGGAGGCGAGTACTGGGCAGAATCAAAGCAGAACAGCACAAGTACTTTTCTGCACTCTGTTTTTAAGTTTTTTGTATCGATGAGGTTAGAAAATGGCAGTTTGTATGAAGTCAAATATTCACCCAAGTCAAATATTCTGAAAAATGACTAGACTGCAAGACTGAATGGAACAAGTTGGATGCTACTGTCATTACACCCTAGTGACAAGAGGTGTTTTGTATGACCTTGAAAATCTGCAACTCAATCCAGTATTGTATAACAAAAAACTCTGAATCTGGAAAGGTACTTTTTAATTCTTATAAATTCTTATAATAGGTTATGGTGCATTATTGGCATCTTGGACCTCATTTTATATACCCAAAGCAGAGTACAGTATAGTAATCTTAAAATGCTGATCCTATTGTGCTTATATTTCTTGCATTTATAATACAGCATTTATCATCTTGATGATCTTTTAGCTCCAAATATTCAGTTTGTCTGTCTTTTGAGATTAGAACATTATTAAATCAATAATGTTTCATGTTATTAATTTTTCTTAATCGCCTGCATTATTGGTCACATATCCATGATAACATTTACCAAACTTCGATTACATTACTTCTACCAATAGTTAATTGTGATTAACTATTCAGAGCAAAGAAAGCAAAAAAACATGAATGTGCAATGCAAATATGAACAAGATTTCATACTCTTATTTACATCGAGAGAGAGAGGAAACCATCCTACCTGGAACCCCAAGACCTTTCAGATCTTGTGAGTGGGATCCCAAGGTTGTGAAGGTGGAATTTGGTGGACCACCCAAATGTGAATCCAGGGCAGAAGGGTAAGGTGGGAGAGAGCCCCCATGTGACGAGGGTCCCAAGTGTGGACCAGCACCAGTTAAGCCTCCCGTAGTCTCTGCGTGACGTTGTAAGACAATGACAGCATCGTCCAATCTGTCGTCTATCCTTGACGAGCCCTGTGAGGGAGACATGATTTTTACAGAAACTTCCATTATTGTACAAACAGGAAATAAATACAATTTCTAGAATGTTTGAATTTCATATTAAACAGTACAGGAAATATAGAAACATACTGTAATTTGAAACTATTTTAGTACTCAGTACTTTAATTAAAAACATTTTAAAAGCAGTAAAAAAAAAAAATGTATATACAATGAAGCAGCCTTGAATGATAATATGCAATCAGAAACAGAGATCTTTTCAAAGAGGATATTGTAAAACAAGCAGGAATCAATACAGCAAAGTAATCTCTTCAACTTTTGTTAATAATAAAAAAAATTTAATTATATTTACTATTAACATTGCTTAAAAAAATTATTTTATTTAATGATGAGAATCTATATACTGAAAAAGAAATATTAAATGAGGACAAAAATACCATTCCCACTTATGATACAATCTCGCACAAACTAAAGCAGAAGTGAGGGTGCATCTTTACCTCAATATCTCGAAGATAGTCGATTGCTGACTCTAAGTTCTCCTCTGCCATATGTGGTGGCTACAGTGCAACAAAGAAGAAAGAAGAAAAAAATGTATAATAACCATGCAAACTTAAGTGAAAAAAAGTGAACTAGTCCATGCAAAATGTGGTGCAGACTTTATATACTGATCAAAATTATTCATGCTATGTCAGTAGACAAGACAACATGCATTGTTGTCATAGAAAGATGAAAAATGAAGATATTGGATAAAACTACAAATTTTATTTAATGTGCTACTTTCTCCCATTCCATAGATTCTACAAACTTGAATAAGATATCTTCTAGGAGAAAATGTGCTGCAGTGCATGAGTCACTCAAAATCCCTTCAAGCAATAAGGATATGTGAAAGTGAACATTTGCAACAATTAATTTAGTGCATCTACTCCCTAATTACATCTTGTGCCAAGTTTATAGAAAACTTGTATGGCATAATTGAAAAATAAAGTCCAGCCAGCATTAGCAGGGGAAACAACAATGGCCTGTAATAACAGCTATTATGCACAACACTCAAAAGTTTGAAGTAACCAAAAATTCAAGAAACACATGTAGTTTTATTTATTCAATGCAATGCACTAAATACCTAAACAAGTTTTTGCCTCAAGAACTAAGAAAACTACAGTCATGCAAGATAAAAAAAAATAAAAAAATTAAAAAGTCAACAGTGGAGATGCTGGCAAGCTGAGTGCTGGTGTCATAAGGGATGCTATTACCAGACACACTTAAAAAGTGGTGTAACAATGTGCTCCTTACTTATTCATTGTGATAATTGTTTTTTTTTTTTTCTCAATGAACATGAGATCATTCGACTCAATGTTCTTACAATGTTGCCAAAGATAAAGCAAGTGTGGAGGCTTACCATGGAGAGGGAACGGTCATAATGAGGTGAGGTGGGTGTATGGGGCTGTGGCCACTGTTGGGGGGCCCCACTAGTTGCCCCGGAGGTGAGGGGGGGCGGGGAGGTGGCAGATACTGGGGTGCCGGGGTTACTGCTGTAGCTGCTCGACGTCTGCTCTCCAGGATAAATCTGATGGTCATAATAATTTCCCCATCAACAACAAACTATAATGCAGCACTACTGAACCAGCTATGTTTCTTGTTTGCTATGATTACCAAAATTTTATATCCTGAGGATTATGAAGGTATTAGTGATAGAAGACAACTCTCCACATAAAGGTTTGTGCTTAATTTTGTTTTTGTACACACATTTATTTCTAGAAAAGGTTTTATTTACATTTATACATCGGTGGTTATAAACCACATAAAACAACCTGGTTCCTGGCTTTTAAATCTCGGATTTCAATTATATTTAACATTTATGTAAAAATAATGTACAGGAGGTATAATCTCAGAAAGACTGATTGTATTGTATGCACATGGGGCTGCTAAAATAGCACTTCTCTCATAACATAAGCCTTGTGTCTCAGAGCTCACACAATCAAAGGCTGCTCCATCATCTTTTTCTATTGCTGTGTAGGTGGGTGAGTACTGTACAGACTTTGTTGCAGTACATGATGTATTTCATGATTAGGGTCTGGTGAACCATAAATTTGTTACATCGAGTCACACAGCCAAGAAGGTTTTTTTTAATGTAACTATTTTGCAATGCCTAAGAAATAAGAGCATCAGTGTGATAAAAACACTGATCGTCATATGCTTCCCTGCATATTACAATACTGTACAATATATAGCACTGAAGAAAGAGAGAAAGAGAATGATACCCTTTGAAGAACCAAGTCACCAGACTCTAAAGGCACTATCTGAGTATATCCCTAAAGTTAACAACCTTTATTGTCATACAATATAAATACTCTACTATGTTTGTAGCCTCAGGAATTGTTGACCTCTCATTTGTCATACATTTTTATCTTTGAAGTAGCCAAGCAACAACAATGGAAACTACGGAGTTGTTGAAAACTGGCACTATTATGCATCTTCTATTCTGAATATTTTTCTAATACACTTCATGAAATAGCAGACAAGACATTATCTCTACATCTTGGCTAATCTTGATCCAAAAATTGAGGTGTATGCCGTATTGTAAAAGCAAAAGAAAATGTCTACCTGCACAGAACAGTTTATATATCAGTTTACAAGTTGTAGAATTTTTCTGCCATACAACTAGTTTTAATCCATCTTATTAGCCACAGGAATGGGTAGGAAAGGAGAACAGTAGTTTTAATTTGCTTAAATATAATTGTGAAATTAATTCATATCAGCATGTGGCTGCAATTTTTAGGTGTTGCAAAACCTTGAGAGCTTCACATGCAACTGTAATGCAGTGCCAGTGTGCACAAGCACAGTAACACAAAGAGTGCAGTAGCAACAAAAACACAAAAATATAACCAAAGCTGAGTACTTACTGAAGATAACGCCTTGCCGAGTGTGTCACCCGTATTGCCTGTGGCTGTGGCCTGGGTGTGATTAGGCACAGGAGAGTGTGTGTAAAGGGGTGAGGAGGTCGCCACTGATCCCCCACCAGTGGTACTACTCGCGCCAGGTCCTCGGAAAGTTGACATGGGTGGCAAACCTGAAGCCATGTTATCATAACCCTGCAAGAGAGTACCTATCATTAATTCCTGTCATGCACATTTAATATGACACAGCATAACTTTTGTTTACATTTTAAAACTTATAAAAAGACAAAGCTAAAAATATGTACATATAATACTATACTGTACTACAACAAATTATGCATATATAAATATATATGTATGTATGTATATATGTTGTACAGTATCTGATATGTAGGTGAAGTTGCCTGACAAGTCAAATTTTACTGAAATTATTTATTTTTCACAATTTTTTTTTATTGCTTTCCATTACTATGATTTTTTTTTTTACTTAAAGTTAAAGCTAATATAGAAATCTGATCACACCTTATGTTCTTAATGTTCTTAATTCATGTTCTTAATACTGTATAATATTATTAATTAAAATAAACAAATTTGAAATAAACTATTTGAATATATAAAACTCAGCATTTGTCCACCCTTGTATTCTTAAGTAAAAATCACAAAAGGACTTCAAGAACAAACAACAGAAATGATCCCACAAGTGGTTACGGGATTTCAACTTTCAATAAATGCCAAGGAGAGTAATGAGGATTGGAACAGGAGGGACGAGGCCACTTGAAAAGGAGGCAACCTCTAGTATCAGCTAGTAGAGGACTTACCGATGTACATCATGTCTGATCAATAATTTGGGGTCACACAAGGTAAAATCAACAGTACATTCAAAGCTGGCAAATATATGAACAGCTTCAGGGGCCAGATCTAACTGTTTTTGGGCCTAAGGCCAAAACGGCTAAATGAGCCCCAACCTCGTGGGAATGTGACTATTCAAAGGTGAAACACAAACATATAGATAGCTGGTGGGCCCTAGGCCATGGCCAACTTGTCCTACTGAATAGTCCAGCCCTGAACAGCCTTTTAAGATCAATAAGGGGCAAGTATGTTGAAAAAGTCCAGAGGTTTCCCGATAATTGAGATATATGAATGAACTGAGAAAACTGCTGGAAAAGAAAAAACTAAAGGGAATGTGATAACTAACTGAAAGCACACATGAGCCAGAACAAAGAAAGTATATATTAATTGTGAACACATTGGGCAAGTATCATGCACCAGAAAAAAAATTATTGAAAGCTAGCTTTATACTCCACATCATTTAAAATGTAAATATGACAAAGCACAAGAGGGTCAGGAGTTAATATAATTGAAAGATTGAACCCAGTAGCTGGAACTCAATACCCGCTAAGCATAACCAGATGAATACATACAAGTACTGTCCTAGAAACACTGATGTACAGGTATTTAAAGATTCACTCTATAACCCAGTCATTATATAAATATGACATTAAATACTTAGAAAAACACATTCAATATTATACCTACCATTGGATCATGGAGAGGTGTCGTCATGTAGTGTGACGGCGTGAGATGGGGTGAGGGGCCCATCATGGACGGTGCTGGGTATGGGTAGCTTCCCATGGCTCCTGCGGCCACTGCCGCTGCCGCTCCACCTCCGCCACCACCACCAGTTGCGCCCCATACATCACTACCTCCACTCTCTGTATAGCAAGAAAAATATAAACTGAAGAATTTATATTAATAAGATTTAAATTCCATATTATCTCTCTTTAGACCCACAGTGACCATACATCTTAGAGGGACCTGTGTCCCAGATTTGATTAAATGCCTTGGTGCCCTTGATAATTTCCTCAAAACCACCAAGATGTTCTGCTTTTCAACTACTGCCTGTTTGGACATGTTTAAGGTTTTAAAGCCATGAAATTAGACACTGGATGTCTTCAGCTTATCATGGTCCCCTCCAGAGCAACTACTGATCTTCCCCAGGATGCAGCCTATACCAAAAAATTCATATTGCTTAACTTCCATGTAACTATTTTATTGCTAGGTGAGCAGGGATATTAGGTGAAAGGCAACATGTAGAATTGATTCTGTCATGTCAGAGGATTGAGCACAGGTGCAAGTAAATTACAGGCAAACTTCAACTCTCATATACCATTTGTGTTGAGTACTGCTCCTGTGCATGAGAAAGCTTCCTCCTACTAAATTTTGTTATACAATTCAGAAATATGCTATGCCTCAACACATTCTACTAAACTACATTCTAATTTTGAGACAAACTTTTCATCACGCAATTGAATAACTTACTCATACTCTCGAGAACTCACAAGTGGCATACCTCCTCTTTATATAGGGACATGCATTAATAATACTGGTAACTTCTCACAAATAGCAGAAATAACACTGCCTCATAGGGTCAAAATACAACACTACAATATTTATGCTTGACCATATCATTAATCACCAATTCTTTTGAGGGCCTATTCCTGAGTGTTTATTAATATCTCTACTTAAGTTATGTCTCCTTGAAATACAAATGAGACTTTATTTCAGAGCTGTGTCCCCTCCCCCCCTTGAAACCCAAAGCTAGGTGTTGTGGCTACCTTGTGAACGTTCTGGGGTTCAATGGTCCCACGGTCCAGTCTCCGACCAGGGTGCCTGGTTGGTCGTCTGGTCAATCAGGCTGTTGGATGTGGCTGCTTGCAGCCTGACATATGAATCAAAGCCTGGTTGATCAGGTATTCTTTGGGGGTGTTTGTAGAGTTCTCTATTGAACACTGAGAGAGGCCAGTCAGTTATGCCCCTTATGTGTAGCGGGAGAGTGTTGAAAAGTGTTGGGCCCCTTGATGTTGATGGAGTTTTCTCAGAGTACCTATAGCACCTCTGCTTTTCAAAAGGGGTATTTTGCACTTCCTGCCATGCCTTCTGGTTTCATGTGATGTAATCTCTGTGTTCAGATTTGGAACCAGCCCCTCTAATATTTTCCATGTGTAAATTATTATGCATCTCTCTCACTCTAGAGAATACAGAGTTAGAGGTTCCCATAGAACAACAACAAAAATTTTCAACGGACTGTGGCCTAAGCTGTGTACAGGTAAGTGCAAAAACATGGCAATGGAAGTTCACTTACCCATGAAGTAGGACTCGCCATAGAGCCCACCAGGTTTGGGCGACGTATACCGCGGGGAATCTTGATTGAAGTCGTCCGAGCCATACTGCAAGGGAGAGAACCATCAGTCAATCGCCGCAATAAATAAGACTTCTTGCAACAGAGAAATATATCATCAACCTGGCCCACAGCGCATCTGCCACTGTGGGGAAATGGTGTCATGATAGAATGTAGCCAAACAATAAATAGGTTCTTTGTTTATAACTGATTTATGAATAGCCACAAATGTGACCCATAGCACTGATGACCAAAGTTGTGATTCATAAGGAACAATTGCCAAGCTCTGTTCAACATCTTAGCAGGATAAAGTTGAAAGGACAGCTACAATATATACAGGTATAACTTACTTTATATATACTGTATGTGTGTATGTGTGTATATGTATGTATACATATATACATACATATATATAATATATATTTATATTCCCTCCCCCCTCCCTTTTTTACTACAACCCACTAACTAGCCAACGCATTGAAAACGCGGATTTTTATGAACTGCTCTTTTTCATACCTTGGGGGACCATTGCGTACAAAATTATACGTATTAATTGAGCGGATGGGTTGCTACGGTGTCTAGCAATGGAAGTAGTGGTAGTGCGTGGCAGTGATGGTGGCAATAGTGACGGTGGTGGTGATAGTGGTTGTGGTGGAAGTACAATGGAAGGTGGAAGTATTGGCGGCGGCGGAAGTACTTCCTTTCGTACTGTGGAAGTACGAAGGAAGGCGGTGGTAGTGGCGGGGGGGGGGGGGGCGGTAGTGGCGGGGGGGGGGGCGGTAGTGGCAGTGGCGGCGGTGTAGAAGGGCGTCAGTGGAAGTCTGCCGTGATGCAGCAAGGTTGTAATATCGGGTAATATCACTTATCGCGTCGGTGGGCCAGCAAACCCAATAATGTGGCTAGCGGCCCCCAACGCCTCATCCAATAATGGGTAGCCTACTGCTCTCCTCACCACTACCTCCCACCCCTCTTCCCACCACACTGTAGTGTGGACGTAGTGCAGTGGTGGCTGGAGTGTGGTGGTAGTCCGTTGTGGCTGGAGTGTGGTGGTAGTCCGTTGTGGCTGGAGTGTGGTGGTAGTCCGTTGTGGCTGGAGTGTGGTGGTAGTCCGTTGTGGCTGGAGTGTGGTGGTGATATGTGGAACATTAGTCTAAGCTTAGGGTAATGTACCTTAGCAATGAGGCAGAAACCTAATCTTGCCAAGAGCATGCCGCTATCACAACTCTCAACACCAACATACTGGAGCGAAAGATACGAAAAGAAATGCAAAACAGAACTAGTGAGGAATATAAGTGCCATAGGCACAATCAGAGAGAACTCCATGAACCACGTCAGGGGTCCATGGCTCTTCAATACTCTCCCAGCAAGCATTATATATATATATATTGCAGGAACAAAGGTGGACGTCTTCAAGAAGCATCTAGATAAGTTCTTTGCAAGTGCTGTACCAAGTTATCACAAGTTGAGCTTGGTCCCCAAACAGGGCTCCGGGAGTACAAGAACTTCGGAAACCCTCTCCAGGTATGCTCTAGCTAACATACCTCGCTTACTGACCTGTCTCCACGACCTCATCCTTATGCTCTAAAGTTCTCTAAAAGGGAAGGGGGAAGATTCCAGTAATTAAAGTATTCAAGTCTTGACAAATAATAACTGTGCTATCGCCATGAGTGAGCACAGTGGAAGTGTGTGGATTTGGTAGAAGCTCTCGTGTTATCTGGCTGAGTCAACTCTGGGTGGGTGGTGGTAGCTTGGTTGATCCATTTCAGCGTGGGATGGTTGTGGGGACCTGGTAGAGCCAACTCCAGTGTGTGGGATGGTTGTGGGGACCTGGTAGAGCCAACTCCAGTGTGTGGGATGGTTGTGGGGACCTGGTAGAGCCAACTCCAGTGTGTGGGATAGTTGTGGGGACCTGGTAGAGCCAACTCCAGTGTGTGGGATGGTTGTGGGGACCTGGTAGAGCCAACTCCAGTGTGTGGGATAGTTGTGGGGACCTGGTAGAGCCAACTCCAGTGTGTGGGATGGTTGTGGGGACCTGGTAGAGCCAACTCCAGTGTGTGGGATGGTTGTAGGGACCTGGTAGAGCCAACTCTAGGGGACAACGGGACCCACAACACCCCAACAAGGACAGCCGTCTGCGAAAGACGAGCTGCCGGCTGGTGACAAGTCGCTGCCGACGAAACAAAACGAAAGTGTCCGAACACCAAGTGCGGTGGCTTTAATATGAGACTTATTGAAGCTATAAACTGGGAGTAAATAATAAATGGACACTCATAAAGCTAGGAAGTGCCACGCCGGACATCAAGATGGTGGGCTGAGGGGCGTAACCCCGCCTGCCGCTTGGGTTCATCCCGCCCCCACAAACCACGTCAACTTGTCCCTTACCGCCAGCCCTGCCACTCTATGGCTTTTCATTAAGTTGAGAAGATAATTTCGCGGAGCTGAATATGAAGAGTGCACTCAAGAAAATTACTTAATACGAGCGATAAATGGGCGGGTGTAAACATCTCTACGCCGGTAAAAAGTGGCATTAGTCCGTGTCGAAATTGTTGCCTGCTTCTAAGACCACCATTATGCAAAGGCTCGCCATATGGCACCAGGAGTGCCCCACACAAACACCCACATACATAAAGGCTCTCATCCGTACATTTGCTGGACCACATCATACACAAGTGTAGGCCCGCACAAAGACCCTCACACCTCAAGTCATGTATGTGTGTGTGTTGGTGTGGAAAAAAAGTAGTTAGTAAACAGTTGATTGACAGTTGAGAGGCGGGCCGAAAGAGCAAAGCTCAACCCCCCGCAAACACAACTAGGTGAATATAACTAGGTGAATACACACCTTCAGATACTATCACACACACACACACACACACACACACACACACAAAGGGGTGGGGGCTGGTAGCTGAGTGGACAGCGCGCGGGATTCATAATCCTGTGGCCCGGGTTCGATTCCCAGCGCCGGCAGACAAATGGGCAGAGTTTCTGTCACCCTGATCCCCCTGTTACCTAGCAGTAAATAGGTCCCAATAAATACATACACCCTCAAACACAGACAACGAGCAAACAGCTCATAACTATGCCATACCTCACCCAACAACGCTAAAGACACTATGAAATAAGACCAAGGATAACTGAAATATTTAAAACATTATCTACGACTGTGTTGAAGGGCTGAGCCAGCACAAATATCTTGCCAGAGAAACACTGATCAACACAGGGAAGGTTACATAAACAATAGAAAGTAAAGATGTCACATTAGACTGGGGAAATGCAAATGAAATAAAGAAATATAAGACACAGGAAAAAAATCGAAGTACTTGTCACATAGGCAAAAATATAATACAAATGTGCGAATGAGACCCCAGTGTGGGGCTCTTTCTTGCAAAAGTAGGTGCATACATAGAGAATGACTAAGAAATTAGTGAATCCTGAAAGAACAGTGCGAAGTAATGTTTAGAACTTCATTATAATACGAAAACTGAAGATCAGAATGGCTTCATGAACAATATCCGAAACTTAGACAATAAATTGGATATTAACACAAACACTGAACATTTAAAACAAGAAATTATGCCCATGCGCTCGGCCCCGGGTCCTGACTCTGTAAACTAATTGCGAAGAAATGCTCAATACCAGTAGACCAAGCGCTCGGTGTAACATGGAGAAGCTGAGATACCGAAGAAGCCGAGATACCGAAGAAGCAGACATACCACCTTGATCATACCTTGAGGTATCCTTATCCCACAAGGGAGACAGAAAGGCAATGGGGGGGGGGGGGGGAAATTAGCTTCGGCTCTTTGATCTGTTTGATACATAAGTTTAGTCATTCATTATGCACCACATAGCCATCCCGTGGTCTGTGGTGTTACCAAAATCACATCAGGAGTTCAGGAACTAAACCCTTCAGTTCATTTAGCAAAGCATTTAGCAATCTTGAGTAGCTAGTTAGGCAAGTTTTAATACAGACATACATACACAATCACAGACCATGACGAATATCATATCCACGGCTCTTGAATGTAAAAATTTACCGAAGAAACACCGAGAGGAGTGCCAGATCAGCCGGGTTGCAATGGAGATGAGGGCGTGCAGGCCGCTGGCAGCAACAGCCAGGCCAATCAAGTCATCGCCAGATAATCTGGATCCCAGCTGGGCTTTCAAGTACAAAAACTATAGGACCCTATAACAAGTAAACACCTTAAACCTCTATATATTACCCGCGGAGACGCCCTTGATCCGTCACCACGCCGTGACCCCCGTGACCAGTGACCCCGTGACCCCTCAACACCTGGTGCCAGAAAAGCGCGTGCCAGGCTGCGGCTGGCTTTATGAGAGCGAGACTCCATAAAGATCCACAGTGGGGGAACTGGGTGCTCATCTCCACAGTGGGGGGAATGGGTTCCCCCCTCCCACTACTACCTGGGTGGAGGTGAGGCCCCCGGAGTGTCGTGGGTGTGCAGCACAAGGAACATACAGGTGTGAGCGAGGTGTATAGTGGGTGTAGCAGCGGAGGGTATGGTCGCTGGCTTGACCACGTGACATGGTAAGGAAGAGAAGAGCGGGGTGGTGGCGTGTCGGCCAAGTGTGTCAGCCAAGTCTTGACCGACACTCAAGGCGCGGTCTTGAGTGTGGGGTCAAGACTTGAGGACGACAGGTTATGTGGGGACAATATGAGGTTAAGTCGTGTTGTCGTCAACACGACTTCTTCACTACTACTGAAAGAACAGCAGTAGTGACCTTTGTAGCCCCGGGAGGGGGGGAGGGGGCGGCGCTCCCGTCAACCGCCACGCTACTCCTACATTGTTCATGATCTCTCGTCTTGACCTTTACCAAAGGGGGAGTAGGCTGGACCTTACAATACCCCCCCCCCTCCATCCATCTCCCAAGTGGAAGATTAGTATACTGCAGCCATGGCAATAATGGGTGTACTACACCCATGGGTATACTGCACCTTAAAAGAGGGGGGACACTACAAGCAAGAGAAAGAAGGGGACACTTTACTAAGGGGGCGAGGGGACACAATGTACCAAAGTGGAAGAGAGGAGA